GTTTAAACTCAAACATATTATGATGCAATGTACAATAATAACATATGATGGTGCACGGGAAAAACCATAGAGTAGAAATTCTCGCTAATTCGAACATAATATTTCCTACATCATTCTCTTCAAACAATACAATTCTCTTGATGTACTTACTATCATATTTTGGTAATTTTTAAAGCATTTAGCGTTGCACTAGCAGTCAACCGAGACTCCGTCCCCGCAGCATAAAAAAATAAATATGTGTTCTTCCAGGTTATGTTCAACAAGACAAGTTATGTTCAGCAATTCAGCAAGACCCGTACTAGAGATACCTTCTAACAAACATCTATCCATCTATACATTGGTATTAATAATATTAGTAAGAAGAGTGATTAACGATTCAAATCTCTATTTAATACGAACCTTGTTGTACGCAATGTTATAATATGCGTAATACAACTTACATAATAGATCTAGCTGTGGCATCCAGTCGCTCGTGTAGACATTATCGTTTCCAACTGGAAGACTTGCATTCTCTAATTTCCACAACACTTTCTGCGGTATCTTCTTAAATGCATCCAAAAACTGTTGCATTTTATTCGTCGACATCGTACTGGCGATAAGATTAGAACCGAAACTAACGTAGATTGCGCCATTAGTTGCATTAGCTAAGAATTTCTCTATGTCCTGCAAAAAACTATTTGATATAGTTGACTATTTAATAGTCACTATTTTGCCGACTAATAGTTAACCTTGATTGTTTTTATTGTTGTTCGCCTTTGCTTGCCTTGAAGAGGCATCTACAACTTACCTCGTTATGTTGACGTTTGCCAAATGCGGTTAAACTATTTCTTGTACGTCTTTAACTAACTAACTATTATAATACACCAATCATCTAATTATTTCGGATCTGTTACCGAAAAAAAATATATTCAGATGGATTCAATATATATTTTAAATGTCCTTGATTTTATGTTACAAAGCTAAAGTACAGGTTTATTTTCCACGAGGTCAAATAATGATCATAAATGAAATGAAATTGATGTGTTAGCTTGTTATTTTATTTCTTGTATGGTTTCACTTGTCTTAAATACGATCATATAACTCTTTCACAAAACTATGAGAAATAGGAGCTATTGATGCGCCTATAAGTAATTAATTTTCTTGTTCATAGAACCCAAATGACTTGAATGCAAAGAGCATTAGTCTTTGATAAGGAAACACGATTAGAGTGTAATGTTGACTTTAAATGTTTGTACTCATTCCGTAATCATTGTTAGGTTTTTTCCTTAACAAATGCATTTAGTATATCGTATTTTACCTTTGGTACGGGCTTTGGTTTGTCGATATGAATTCCTCCAATTTCCAGCACTTGTGGTCCTGCGAGCCGCGCGCCCGTTATTGAGAAATGCTGGTTGGAGAACATCATCTTCATCCTCTCAGTCGCCAATTTTTCGATGTCCAGACTAACGTTTGGCATGTGTTGGTGAAACGCATCGTAAGTGCTTCTATCGATCAACCACTTACCATACGTGAGATATAAATGCATCAACACGGTTTCGATTCTATGATAAAGTCCAGGGTTCGTACCGGCATTTGCAAAATAATAAGCATCGGAGGAAAAATCAAACGGTATTCCCAATCTAGGATAGGCCCAAGGTAACAGAACGTGGGAAGTTATTCCAATAATCGGTGCATCGTAAAAAACACCCGCGTAAGCTAAACCACAATCACTAAAAAACTGTTCGACGAAAATCACGTCGTACTTTTTTCCTTGAGCCAAATGCCGTTGGACGTTTTTGTTACTTAATAAATTTTCACAATCGAATTTTGTACTTTGAGGTCCGAAATTGACGTGACGGTGTAAATTTACTATATGCATGAATCTAGAATCCTCGGTTTCGTACCACGACATTGGTGGGGTTCGGTTCCTGAACGCATTTTGCACTTGAAGGTCAATAAACTCTAGATTTCTCACTGGTTGTGGGTCAGGGTAGTTATTCATGACCGTGACCGAATGTCCTCTTATTGCTAACTCGCGGAATAGTGTTTGGAAGGCCATGTAATGACTTCGCAGCGGCATAGAAACAATGGCAAGGATATTATAGGCGAAGGCATTTTGTGCAAATATTAATGTTACAAACAATAATGTGTGGAGACAATTCATCGCGGCGATCGAGAGGTCAACGTCCGAGGAGTGACGAACGCGACGGTCGAGCTCGGACCACTATCACAAACCGACTGACGATGTTTATAGCTCGTAAGGCCATATTAAATAGTACTTGTACTTAAGCACTATGTATTTCTTAGAGACAAAATTCTCTAACTTTACTTTTACGATATCATTTTAACTTATTAAATTATTAGCATAGCTTAAACTTCTTTTTTGCGAATTCTGAAGCTACTTTTTGCATATTTTAATCACTTGTATGTTATAAAAATAAGACGAAATATCTTCAACTTAAAAATATAAAACATATTCAAATTAATTTTCTCTACCTACTTCCCCGTTTTTAATCAGCCTCATGTATTATTTTATTTCATTAAATAAAATTGCAAAAACTTTCACTTTTAAACAGACTTCAAAAAGGAGGTTCACAATTCGTCTGTATGTTTTTTTATTGGCAAAATAACTGCGTTATTTTAAAATTGGACAAAATAAAAAACTATTAATGTCATAAACAAAATAACTTCACCATTATATAATAATTGTTTAATATTAAATTATAATTATTCCATATAATAATTAAATAAAATTGATATTAATAGGAAACATAAATTAGAACAGCCTTTTCTGAACAATGTACAGGCATACAGCCAAAAAGAATAAAAATGCAAAGAACATTATCACTTTATCAGTAAACTCCCGTCTTCCATATTTATTCAACAGTTTGCTCGATTGAGAAATAGTACCAGCTGTATTTTCCAATTCGGATTGTGTACCCTGAAATTAATTTAACAATTTTAAATAGAACACAAAAAATTAATGAGCATATTCTTTTATTATTTTTAAACAAACAGTTAATAGATATTCTTTTTTTTTTAAAGGACAAATACTGCATTTCAAGTTGGCAGCAATGTGCAATCTTTTAATTAAATTTACCACAATTTATTACAAGATATTATAAGACTAGAATACTGCATAGGTAATTATTATATGTCCAACAATGGAATAAAATTTATTGTGATTTTTGTTCACGATTTAAATTAACTTTTTTAAAATACTATAGCGGTTAAAATATAATATAAAAATATTTGTTATTAAATAATTTTGGTCCGTGAGATAATCATCATACCATATAATGACATAGGTCAAACCCTTCACTGCAAACGGAACAAGGTTGTCTACTCAAAAACTTCCATTTATTATCATTTCTACCTAAATACTATTTATATATCTACTATATGTCTAATGTTCAGATTTATAAAAACAAATCAGATTTAGTGACCTTCAAATTATTAATTTAAGGTCAATAATTATATTGAGATTAAAATATTTGATATATTTTAAATAAACAATGAATTTGTTAGGTTTGGTAACTAACAAACTTTTATAATAAGAATAAAATTAAGTTTGTAGACCATTGTTTATTGTAGACAATTCGTAGACAAAAATTTGACCGTCTCTTTCAACTTATAATAAAAATAATTGTGATTAGCATGTTCAACGCCAGCAACTCTTTAAGTCAGTTTATGTTATGTGAACTTAGTGACACTTAATGTGTTAAACTCAATATTTTCTATAATTTTGAATACTTACATGCACCGCAGAGCTAGATGACACTAAAGTGTCAAGTGTAGCTTGACTTCTCTGTGTTGTGTCGGCCAATTGCCTACTTATGGCCAATAATTGTTCTGTCACACCTAAGGAGAAATTGTGAAAATAGTAAGTTATTTTAGCCTACATTGCCACAAAATTACATAGCTCATATTTGAGTGTAACTTGGACAGGAATTTGTCCAGCTAGTCAAATTATTACATAAATCATTGAATATGAATTTTGTTACTATTAAACAAGTTATTATATCTGTGAGTTTCTTGAAGACTTCTGTGTCATTGTTAGAAAATAATTATTTCACAAACCTGAACTCATTGACAGTCCATCTTTCTTCGCTGGCTTTTTTCTATTACGTAAATTAGATTCACCTTCAATTTTAGATTTAAGTAATTCCTCACGTTGTGCTTTTTCAATGTTGAATAAAGTGTTCACATTTGCGTCCCGAAACTCCCTTAAAAGTCTAAAAAAGGAATAATTAAAAATAACTGGGTAAAATAATATGAAAACTATTTTTTTTAATAAATGTAACCTATTTACCCTGCCAGTAAATGTTTTTGAGCTTCTAATTCGATAATAAACTTCTCATCGCCGCTTTCTCGTCCGTACAAATCCAAACTATCGAGTTCTTCTCTCAACGCTGCCAGTAGCGCTCTACCTTTTTCATTGAGTGCATTTAACTTATCCAAAGAACTACATCCTAAGATATCCTACGAAAACAATTAATTTATTACTTTCTCTATTGTTTTTCGGATCTCATTTTTACGAAATAATAGTTAAAACCTTACATATCAACAGTATTACCTGTATAACAGCTTTTACTTGAAAATGGTGTTTCGCTAGATTCTTGACATAATTCTGATAATTAATATCGGGATTTTGAAGTTTTGCAAACAGTTTTTGATAAGTTTCCGTACTACTAATATCAGGGGTAATATGTAACTTCATTGTTAATTACTCTATATTTTTTAAATAAGCAATTTTTCAATCGATACCTTTTCTTACGAAAATCAATGACATTGACAGTAGACAGATTGACACACTGAATTTAAACAGCTGGCTCAACAGATTATAATTCAACAGTAGTGATGTGCGGAATGTGTACACAGCAAATAAAAAACATTCGATTGTGATTTTAAACTTTATTTTCATTATAGAAATAAGTGAGGTGAATACAAATATTTTCACCGTCACGGTTTATATGTTACGACTTTTACAATAAACTTATAACTATTTTAAAATGGCTTCACTAGTCAACAGCATCATTAAGAACAGCAAATATAGAATAGCCATTGTATAACGCCTGTAAATATATAATACACACAATATAGTCATTGCTGTTTTTGAGTTTGGCAAAAGCATACTTACTAAGTAACAACTAATAATCAACCATACCTGGCTGTATGCTTTCATGGACATAGTAACTACTCCGCCTGCGCTGAGACTCAATGGTTTTTGTGCTACCCTGATAACAATTAGTAGATCTTTCTGCATATCAGGAGGCCACGATGTCCAAGGGGCTTCATATGCTGCCAAAGCTATGCCTTCACTCTAGTAACCAATGCGTATTATAATGAAGAAAATTAATGTAACATTATTAAGTAACTATGCGCAGCATAAAAGCTTATACCTAAATGAACGTTATAAACAAACCTGAACAATCATTTCGTTCCCCAAATAACAATAAATATAGGCATTTATGAGTGCTATTATCAAAAAAGCTATAAAACTGGCTAACAATGTCTTCTGTTCGCGATCAACCTGTAAGTTTTTTATTTTTATTTATCGCTCGTGAAAAAATTTACTTGTGTATCATTTGCAGTAAATATTTTATACTAACCATAGTCACCATCATTGCATTTAGACACATTTCGACCGAAACAGCTAAATTTTGAACTAAAAAGAATTCTTTAAACGTTGTTGACAATAGCTTAGAAAACCTGTAAAATAAGTAAGTTCATGATAAGGCAACCATCAACTTGCCCTTGAATGTGCTCTAGTGGATGTTGGTTATATAGTGGATATTTATTTTCTTTGTTTCATTAAATTTCTAAAATGTTTCAAAAAATACGTAAATTAAAAATTATTACCATATTTTTTGATTATATTGAAAACTGTTTTTGTAAACAATTTCAATTTCGTTAATAACTACTTACCTCATCAAACGCATGTGTTTCTTCACAATTTCCTTAAACTCTATTCTCATTGACAAATCATTCGCTTTTGAATAATCCAAAGCTTTAATTTTATTTTGCAAATCTATAAACTGCTCACACAAATACATAACAATACTAGAAACTATCCCTTGCATAGCTATCGATCTGAATGAACAAGGTACAATAAATGTTATAACCAGAATTTGAGTAGCCAAGAAATAATTAATTATATTCTTGTGTGGATCGAAAGGCATCCAAGCTTCAACAATCATCTCCATTTTGAATAAAGCTAGTAGACTAAATGCCCCAATTATAGCTGTAGTTACAATAGTAATAATAATAACATGTAAAGCCATTAAACGTTTTTGATTATAAGAAATTCTATCACCAGAAGTTGCTATTTCTTTAATCAATTTCTCAACATGTTTCCGTTTTACGACGAAAACTATAACTTTCAATACAAAATTATAAGCAACAAGAGTTTTGTCTAAATTGGACAAGAATATCGCTACGTCCTGTTTATTCTGATATGTCCCAATGCTTGTTGTTACAACGTATATTAAGGATAAAATATGCAAAATTATTTCATAGGTCTTATACAAAATTACTTGACTTCTTGAAAAATCCTCTCTTGGCCATAAACCAACATAGAATAAATATTTTAAATTGACGTCAAAATAATCTTGTCTACGGGAAAAGAAACCTGCAAACGCCATGGTTACTTGCCTTATGATATAAAATTGCTGGTACAGTGCAATTTAAACTTGTGTAATTTCTAGCTATAGTTAAAGTTAAACCATTACAGATAATCAAGTAAATTTGTCATCGAACTATCGAGTTTAATTTGCGTACTAAATTATATCTAGGAAATTTGCAAAACTAAGTACTTAGTTTTGCAATTTCCTAGATATAATTTAGTACACTGCTAGTGTATAAGACATTCGGAGACATGAAAAAATCTAAGAACTAGATAATTGTTTAATTTAAGCAATTTTGTAGAAACCAAAAAATCATCTCTAAAAACTATGTCATTAAATGTGAAATCCTTATTACATTATATACTATATATCTATTATTTATATTTATATCTAAATAATGTTATATATAAAATTCTCGTGTCACTATTTTCGTTCCCATACTCCTCCGAAACGGCTTGACCGATTCTCATGAAATCTTGTAAGCATATTGAGTAGGTCTGAGAATCGGCCAACATCTATTTTTAATCCCGCGCGGGCGGAGTCGCCGGCTACAGCTAGTAATAATGTATATTTCAGTGCACGTAATATGTTAAGAAACTATCTAAAACTTTAGGCAATAGATAAGAAAGGCTGTCTCCTGAGACACAGCTTCATCTAGTTCCGGAGACGGAGCCCACAAAATTTTGTGAAAAATGTTTTTTCTTTGCTCAATTAAGAATTTTTTATTTTTTTATTTTTATTACGTGAAATAAAACCTGAAGTTAGTTAAATACCTTTATATTAATTTAACGATCGTCATACATAAATTAGATTAACTACTTTAGGAAAAAGCTTCATGGATGAACGTGAACTTGTTCTTTGTCTCGTTCGATACAATTTTGCATTTATTTCTTAATAATTTCACTAATTTCTTTGGTCCACAGCAATATAAGTTTAGGCTTTTTCTGTAAAAAAAAAGTTATTTACAGAATATTAAAAACAATAAATATACTTGAAATTATAATAATTTTAATATCAATAGTAAATTTCAAAATCAAAATAATGTATTACTTACTCTGGATACAAATGCACCCAATATCCGAACACACGGTCCCAGTGCGGTCTGCCTCTTCTTACTCGACATCCTACTAAAGGATATTCCTTCGCTATATCATATCCTTTTTTATCCTTAAATTCATCTTTTTTATCTTTTGCAACATCAATCCGTTTTCTGTTAGGGGTCAAAAGTGTTACTTTCTCATCGTCGTCCATGTTTTTATCGTTTTTGTTTAAGATATGAGTCAGGACCCCCTTTTCATTGACCATTACTACATGTGCTATGTTATTTTTATCTTTATCGTAAGTCGTGTTAGGATCATTATTGTTTGTGCTCGTTACGTAAAATTCGATATGCAGTCTATCCGGTCGATTAGCGTGTCTCAGTTGCGAGATAACTTTGTGAGTTAAATCCGCCAGCCATTTTATTTCCTGTTCCTGTCTCACGATCCATAGCAAGTGTACTCTACCCGGCAACGTGCTTCTTGGATTTCTGTAACATACAATTTAGTTTTTAGGGTTCCATATTCCGAAACGAAACCCATATAGGATCACTTTGTTGTCTGTCCGTCTGTCTGTCTGTCAAGACCCTTTTTTTGTTTATTCAGGAATAGCTTCAATCTGCACCTACAGTTATTTAAAATATGTTACTTACATCAACATCTCATGTAAGATGGCCACAAACGGTGTAATCCCAACACCGGCCGCTACGCATAACGCCACATCACTCCTGCTGACCCCCTCCATCGGACTTGAGAACGGACCGTCAATTAGCATCCTACAAGAAATAATCTCTATTAAAGCACAAAAACTAGAGAACGAAGACATTTGTATACATAATTCTCAACATATTTATATTTATATCTTGATTGTTGTACATATTGTTTCACAATTTCACGGTGTGGTGCCCTTTAAGTATATAATAGCTCGGTAGTTCAATGTTGCCAATTCCACCTTTCAGTATTCAACTAAACAATTTGGGATAGTCAAGTCTATTATATAAACAAATGGTAGCAGATCTACCTAACATTATTTGCTCCCTTCTCCAAGATCAGTCTCTCTAAAGCTTCAGTCCAATCACCTTTGACTCTTATCCAAACTTCGAACTCTCTTTGATTTACTGTCGGCAGCTGAAACCAAGATAACTTTTTAGTAAAAATTAAGTTACATTTTAAACACATAGCAAATCTACTTTTTTATTTTTTTTTACACAGCAACAAGGTCCTTAGAATTTGAAAGAGCACAATGATAACCAACAGAATGCGTTGGTTATCATTGTGCGTTTAATTAAGCGTGATTTAGTAAGAGAAGTCTATACTAGTTGTAATAACGAAGTTTACCTTCACGATGGTAAAGGGATGCCACTCAAGAAGTGACACATCCATACACTGGAGTAACACATACTGCCCCTTGCGGCAGCTGAATGTGTCGTGCGGGCAACTCACATTTATACTCAGAGTCCGTCCGGGCATGTGACTTACCTGTGAAAAACACGATTGGTTTCTGTAAGCACCTAATCCATGATAAAAGAAAAAAATATATAGACTTCATGCATTTATAATTGCTACTCCACTCAACTCTCTGTTCTCTGTATTCGACATCTTCGTGTAATGTCTAGCGCATTTGTCCCTACTTTCCCAGTTCGTACTGTTTCTGTGTGGTTGGAATAATACTTTGGTACGATAACAATTGCTTTGAATAATTAGAAGATTAAAAATTAAATTCGTAAATAAATGTTAATTGACTTTCGATGGCGCCTGTACTAACGGACGTAAGCGGCTTATGCAAAACATAATCGGTTACCGGACTAAATAGCCGGCGGCGCAGCTGTTTGCTTATAATTAAACTCTTCAGATTCGTTTCAAAGATGTATTCGTGGAGCACATTGTAAAGCAATGTTTAAAGATACGGAATAGAATTCTTTTCATCGTCTATACTGGCTTAGAAAATTGCTGGCAAAGCTTAGGCATAAGAAAAGTTCGAATAAAAAACGGTTCACCGGATGATTTAAGTAGGTATACTACTTAATGATTAGTTTGTTGAGGAAACCTTCGAATCGGTGGACGAAACACAGAAGTATAAATTCTGCTGCTTCACGCCTGCGATGTACCAATTTATAATAGACATTACTAAACAAACTTACATTTAACAACTGAACTCTTGCCAAATTCCTCGTGAATATTCTCCACAGAAGATCGACCAGAAAACACAAAAGAGGGACAGCCATCCAAATCCAAGTCTGAAACACAAGAAATTTTACTGACTTAACATTAGCCTCAATAAATTATGATAAATCTTTACACGCATTTGACGCATTGAATTGCGCAATGTGCGTATGATTATTCACGCATGGTAACAATATTTTTAGCCAACTTCAAAAGGAGGTTATTAAGTCGTCTCTATGTTATTTTTTTTATTTCGGTCTAGTTCTACCTTAAACGTTAATAGGTCTAAGACATCAGACCGACACCGACTCCGAAATAACAATAATTGTAAAGTATTGGCATATTTCAAGACGGAAAAGAAATTTATTGCTTTCGGGGGTGTTTGTTCTTGACATTATTTTGTTACTTTTTAGTGGATTTTGTTTAAGAATGTTTTATTTTGTTTCAGTATGTTTTTTTTTGTTTGCGAATGTTTTTTAAATGTAATGTTTGAGCAACTTCTGAGCATACATAACACGAGTAGGTGTTGGGTTGATTCATGATATTTTCAGAAGCAAAATAGATTAAAAGCATGAAGTCATTTAGAATATGAACACAGAATCATATTGTAACTACCAACTTGATATCCCATCGGGCAATTAAATCACTTTATTTATCAAAGATTATTTATTACTCTTTTAGAAAAGCTTCTGAACCATATAAACTGTGCGAAAATTTATATTCTTATCCGTTTTACAATGTTTCAACGCAATGCGTGCAGTTATTTGTGCACAACAAATATAACTGTTGTTATTCTATAGGACTTCCTGGACGTCGTGGTATTGGTTAAGCCTCTTAATCGAATAACTCCTGGAAATAGGTCGAGACAAGACCTCATTACTGACGCCAAGTGTCACATAGGAGACTGGATTCCATAAATGCCACATTCATACTAATTCCAAATCATTAACTGTGGGTTTTTCACACCAAAATCACCGTTTAAAACATATATCTGCTTTGTTAAAGATAAAAACAGAGATGACGGACGATATGTTTGATACAGAAATGTTGGTCTCAGAAATCAACGGTAAATGACAAAGTAGTGTATATTAATTTCTTCATTTAAATTTTACCCTCGATAGGAAGAACGTAGACATTACGTAAAGTGATTAGATACTAAGTGTGCCTCATACGAGGCTTTAGTGCATCTTGATTAATGTTGAGTGGTGGCTGATGTGTGTAAATTAAGGCACCCCTTCCTTAGTTACATTTAATTACGCGCAAAGTGACGTGCTGTCAAGAGCTATTGTAATTTGTTCCAGCCCTATTAATGTAACGCGTTTTAATTTAAAAAATGGAACGCTAATTGCCTTGCTACTATGACTTTTTACTTATATTTTATGATTTCATATGTTTACAGTAATCGGTGATTCAATTTTGAAATTAGACCTGTGATATACCATTCGTAGGTGTAGACTGTAGGTGGTAAATAAATATAACGATGAACCACAGCCGTAGGCAGCATTTACCGATTTTCGTTATGTACTAGCATCATCATCTTTCTTCAAGAATGTAGTTTTTAATCAATGGTTATCCACGTAGATATTCACGGATAATCATATTGAGGTTTTTAGTTATTTTTGTACTTGCATGGCATGTAATTAACCTGAACAAAAGCTTAGTGACCTCTACAAGACACGTTTGACGGCTACTAGGGTAACAAAAGGCCTAGTACGAAAATTCGTGAGTACGTATTCGTATCGTCATCGACAAAAATTGTACAACGCTCCTATCGGGCGTAAAGTACACCAAAAAATCTCATACTTTCGATGACGTTTCGAAGGTGCGTGTCGAAAATATTCGTGCTAGGCCCTCAGATCCAAAAATATCTCGCTATTGACTCATTTACGAAATTACGTTACGTTTATTTTAAGCAATGTGTTTCATTTTAACAATCGAACATTGAACTGAAATTTATGAGATTATTTCTGTGCTAAGAGTTCCACAAATACGTGTATGAAACAGACCCTTTATCGTAAGAATAGAGCTTTAACATTCTTTGATACCATACTTGAAACTTTGTGTTGGTAAATCTGCATACATTCAGACTTACGTTAAAAAAATCATCATTTGAATTGTAACAAAGTTAACAATAGCTTTATGTATGCGTCAACTGGAACTCTGGTAGCATAATAATAAACTGTAGGAATTTTTACTGGTTTAAAGAGGATGTGACTCATATTTTGTACAAGTTACTCGTTTGAATATTTAACTTAGATCTACATTTTTTACTTTTATACACTTTAAATGATGATCCAATGATATAGACATAGTGAGTCTCAATGGTTTTATTTTACTGTAAATTTTTCTTTGTATGGTAATATAACAGAACTGGTACATTTTAACGTCTTTTACGAGATAACCAGAGTATTAAACAGCTGGTATATACGTTGTAAACATGACGTCATAAATGAAGATCAGTATTCAAAGACTCACAATGGTTATTTCAGTCACCGGCTGCCACCAACAGATCATGAAAGAATTTACAACGCGTCGGTTCCGGTCGCACCCAGCATGAGAATCGTTTATAGCGACCTTGAATGTCTTACTCCATTCTATAGAAACCATTGATGTCAGTAAATATCATGGATCATTGCCTACTATGGGAATATCAAATTATCTTGTTAATATGCAAATTAATTCGCTCAACAGCCTTGACATAATTAAAATGAAGCGCGTTTAAATTTTGCTCTGATTTCGTTAATAATGTCAATTCTGAAAATTAATGCGTTTAAAAGTATGCTATCTCGTTAACGCGTACTGAGTAAGAACGACAGTGGTACATGTATTTACAAATAAAATTTTCGAAAGAATTTCCTGTCCTCAAATAGGTATGGAATCACATGGTAGGTATAGAATGATTACGTCTGATTGACTATCAATGAAAATAAACATAGAAAAGCAATCAACAATGGTCATAGTACATAGTTTATATAATGTTAGGTACAACCAATATAGATATAAATATTTTTAATGGAAGCTCTAATAGTCTTAACGTCAGATAGAATGGAAGAATTAAATTATATTACCATAGTAACTACGGAACTACATTACGTAATGTAGCGTCGCTAAGCCATTGTTTAAATATCGCGATCGTCACTCCGCTGTTTGTGTTATTATTAGATGTTTATTATCACTATTTCTATCTGAAAAGGTCAAGTACATTTCTAAGAAAAACTGTACATTATTTCAAAAACTATTCACATAATTTTTAGAACATAACTTACAATATGAAAAATGTATCTACATTTGAACGAATCGAATAAGAATAGAATTTTTAATCTATGTTTTTAAGCTAAAGTGAGTGTTAGTTATAGAATATATAAGTATTAAAGTTCTGTACACATTTGGTTCTTTTAGCTTTCAAGAACAAGAATATACTTTTAAAACTTTGTACAGTTTTATTGCAAGGGTGAACGGATGTATAAAGCGTGTGTGAAACTTAAGATATAAACTCACCTTAGACTTTATCGGCATAAACTTTGTGGTGTGAGGTGCGGAACCATTCGACCAACTTGTTACTTGACTAGAGAATAGACTAGTGCGATGCTCGCTCAATACTTCTTCCTTTAACACACCGCTAAAACAGATTATATAAAAATCAGAAGAGCAAAATGCGCTTATTTCTTCACATAACTTTTGGCTTAATTTGCTTTGATTTTTAAAGAAGAATTTATAATATTTTTAACCATTTCAGCCTATTGTGTAGAAGACTAAAGAGTCACAAAAAATAACAGGACAATTTCATTTTTTATATCTACATGTATTTCACTAATGTAACACTCACTTACTCTTTAGTAATCTTACTTACTCTTTGGTACTCTTACTTAGGTAAGCAATACTTCGTATACTCACCTTAAGGGATGGATCATGAGGAACACCATGAATGGTATATACAACTGATGCGTATACCAGAAAGCATTATAGACTCGGCGACGAACGACTCGCAGCGATGTCAGCCCCATGCAGATGGCTATAGTTAACAACATAACCCCAGTTAGGCCCGCCATGCTCATCAGTAGAAGGAATGGACTCTGAAATTTAAAACTTGGTTTGACTAAAGAACTTTTTGATTGATAACAATCGAATTTGAAGAAAGTAATTATATACGACGAAACACGGCCTCTTCGAAATATTCTCGTGATGAAAGTAAAATGAAAATGGCAACAAGTAAAAGGTAAAATAACAAACCATTTATAATACCTGAGCAGAATTCAACAATAGAACCCTTTCTTCATTAAATACAAAACTCCCCCAACACAAAGCTCAAGTACTAATAATGACTAATTACAGTTTTCACGAAGTCCTCAACGAGAAGAGTCCGACAACAGGCCATTATTGAGTTTGTGATAAATGTTACCACTCACAACTTTATTGTTTTCTTCTTTCTGTATTATAGAACGTACTTTATATCATTTTTCATCTTTACACAATTATTGATAGTTTCATTAATTGCTAAGAGAGTAAGGAGGAAGTATTTCAGTTAGTGTCAGAGGTTATAATGATGATACTAATGGGGTGCAAAAATTGGAATTCCCAAACCAACCAAGAAAAAACAATCGACTGCTAAATAAAATTCCAAAATATTTCCGTAATTAATTACTTCAGGCGTATATTATTTACAAAACCGTTTAAAGCATTAATTAAACGTTCCCACTCAGACAATCTTCTATTAAGTCTGAATCGTAGTCAATAATCGTGCAAACACACGTCCAGACGACGTACATTATAAAATAGCTGTCGCACAATGAGCATCAGATGGGTTGTGTAGTGTGGACGGGCCTTTACACCCCCACCTGTCAAGTGTTTGTTCTGACTCTACGCTATTGTCAGCCTCTATTCTAAAACTCTCCGCTTTCACAATCGTTATGGGATTTGTTTGAATTTCTTTTAGTTTGTGATGTGTATAAGAATTATTTTAGCTTGATTGTAAGTTGTTTGTATTTTGTAACAAATTTAATGCGATGAAGATCAATTGTTCTTATTTGATAGTTTGTTAATATTATGTTTAAAATAAGTTTTAATTGTAAGTAATTTTCGTAAAAAATTTATGGTTGTGTTTTATGCCGCAATTAGTCTTCGTTGTTAACGTTTTTTTAAAAGTAATCCTCATATAAACGGCCCAAACAAGGCTCTTTTCCAAATATTTAGTTTAAAAATATAATGTCGAAGTGCAGTAAATATCTATAACCATTTTTCTGCTTTTTTTTTAACTTTAGTCATTATAGTTTCGCACATCGATCGTTTTAATTTCACAATGTACCGTATTCGACCATAATACTTTGTAGCTATAAAAATAAATGAGAGAGGATAAAATGGAAAGCATGTTACAAACATTTCGTCCCGTATAACGCCACTCTCGGGTGCAGTTTGAACCTCACTGAAGAATAAAAGGAGGCAAGGCTTTCTTGAAGCGTGTTTCTCAAGCGGAACAGACTTCAACTCCTTAAAGTGGTGAAACTCCTAAGAAATGACATTTTATTGTTGAATATTCTTATAACTTACGTTCCATTATAAGCATTGTAGCATTTTGCCGACATTTCTTGTCTCTTATTATTTTTTGTGGAACATTAAATGATTATATTTTGAATTGATTAAAGTACCCTATTTATGTTTGGAAATTTTCAAGTAACAAATTGTTACGTTACCTTAGTAAGGGATATAAACCATTTTATATTTCCAAATATTTTATTTATTTGTCGATACAATAGATTTCAACGACTTAAGGAACAAATTTTTAATCGCCGCCTTTAAAAAATCCCATCCCATCCCTTAATTAATTAGTAGGAGCTTTATTCGTTTAACTTAAACTGGGCAGTTGGTACCAACACAACTGATAAATTATTATTCGATGTATTGCTGTTCACGTGTCAAATAAACATAGTCTTTTTCGTATTGATTCAAAATAGACCCCCGAATGTGCGGCACGGGAGCACATTGTTAACAAACTAACCTCGTTCCTGTAGTGCGCCAAATTAATGTCCGTGCGCTGCTCGTCGTAGTTGCGAGAGAAGTTCCACAGGTTTACGAAATGCGACATGGAATGTATCACTGCAAAGAAAAAGTGTTATTAACTCATTTTACATTTCGAATAAGACAAAAAATAATTACGGGGTAAAGTTAGAGTAATAATATTCCCAGTTGAATTATACGTCATTTTAGGCGCTGATCCGCCATAGGGGATTGCCTAAAACATTTTTATGGATGGCAACAGTCCTTTTTGTCATCTACAAAGTAACCGGGTGCCCATAACCTTTTTGAGGCGTGATCCACCTTTGTTTTCTGTTTTAAAAGCAAATGAAGAACGAATATGTACGAAAAAAAATAATCAAAAAACCTGAGATTCTGAATATGAACCAGCGATATAAAAGCACACGTACTAACACGTAAATTACTATAAATTACAATAAACATACTTCACACCCCTTACACTCGGCGTAGAAAGCGAAAGCCCTCTAAAATCTAAATACGCACTATATCGGAGCTGCGAAGTCGCGTGAGGTACTTTCTAACTGGTGTGAGACGACCATTAGCCTTCGTCTCAAGAACTTAATGCGCCCCTGGCCCGCCCTCAGTCGTAGGTCTAATAATCATTTAGGGTCGTTGAATGAAACGTAAATGAATACGTAAATTTCACACACGTACAAGACGCATGTTTTGGGACGCGAGTAGCAGACTGCAGACGATTTTAATTTCTTTAAGTAAAACATATCAACGTTAATGACCTTGATAAAAAAAAAACCTTGCACGGTCGTTTAGAAAATAATTTTATATCTAGAAATGCCTTTTTCTGTCTTATTTATAAATCAGACTTACCAGCAAACAGAAGAAGGGTTATTGCGACAGTCATATGGAAACTCTTTGCTCTCTCCAACCAAAAAAAGAAGAGTCCGGGCCATAGTTTGGAAAGTAGTCGGTAGAGTAACTGGTTGAGCTTCTTGCACAGAGGCAGCAGGACCAACGCACAGCACAGGTTTAGAACGGTCGCCGTCCCTCGAGATATACACAGTCCTAACTGAAAGTTAAACTCAAATGTAGAAAAGACTGATTCCTCGCATGGTCTGCAGATAAAATTCTTAAAATTGTAGGAAAATATTATTAAATGCAAACGTAATTGAATCACCACAAAATTGTAAACAGATCCAATTCTAAAATAGCTGTCGAAACGATTAGGAAAATATCACATAAAATATTTTATATTTGACTTTGGTTAATTGGTAATCAAATTGTTTTTGTCACTTTACAAATAAATATAATTAAATGAGCATCTGTTAACTGTAGTGGCAATAAAATATAAATTGTATTCGTCAACAAGCAGTGATTCAATCGTAATGACCTAAATCATTGACGGTCCTAAATGTTACAAGAACATGAGACATGTCGGCTGACGCACGCGTTCTTTCAGCGAAATGATATAACGCCGTGCATTCAAAAACCTCGCTCCAAGCTGACACTTTGTAGATAACTCACCCCCAACATTTGCCTTAAATAATAAAAACGTCGCTCCATTTTGTAGAAAATAAATGAATCGTAAAAAATGTACATGACTAGTGAGATCCATAATATCTGAAACAAATGAAACAGTTCGTTAGTAAAAAAATATATTTAAAATGTTTCTACAGACTTTTGTTTTAAGTGTCCTCGTACTATGTAGGCCGGTTATTAAACTGTCATTTTGCTACAAACCATATTTGGACTAGGATATAGTAGAGGCTAAATTGAAAAATTTATTTCTGATTATTCTGGCATTTTTTTTATATCATAACAAAACGGTGGCAAACGAGCAAGCGGCCACCTGAAATCGCTGAAGTAGCGAAGTGACCGTTGCCCATAGACATACGCAATTGCATATACGTATATGCAATACGTATATGCCTACCTTTAATCGACGGAGGAGAGGATGCACAGAAAGAAAATATTTTCCCTTCCCATGCATCCCCTCATCCGGAAAGTCCACTTCCATTTCCCATCCATCCATGGCATCTACTGTAAATATTAAATGTATGAAAAGAATACATAAATATTCGCTGATTACATAATAAAATATTTTATTGTTTTTAAACGGTTTTATTTTTGTAATAAAAATAACGCATCGTTATAATTTATAGTTATGTTTGTACTGTTACTATCGTATAATAATCATTTAATAAAGCAAAAACCTCGTAAAAATTCAGGTAAAAAGCTCTTAATCTGTTTAAATTAGCGCCGTAGCAACTGAATGAAGAATAATTGTCTATTTATACTCATTTGCATTATTTTCACAGAGCTTAAAAAAGGTCGGAGGTAAGTTCAAAGTCCGCTATCTCGGCAAACAGTCAGTGTGTTTGGAGAGCGAGAGCGCTCAGTTTCGCATTTGAAAATGTCAAGCGAGACTTGAAATGAACGCGAATTGAAGCAACGGGAGTCAGCGCGAGGCAACGCGTCGGAAGTCAAACGGTGCGAAGTTACGGTGACACTTGAGAGCAGACGGCATTCAACAGTCATGCGTATATACGCAGCACAACGCCTTTGACAGCCCACCTCCATTGAACGAGTGAATGGAGTCGATGACAGCGGCCGAGGGCCCGCATTAATTACTGGATGTCGAACGATACCCCATCGGAATCTCATTTGCATCTGACGCGACGACACGCGATAATCTGACAAGCTCTTATATGTTACATTTTAATTTTCATTACACAAGTTACACATAACTTTAATATTAATAACGGACTCAAGTTATTTTTTTACTTAATCGTAAATATGAACAATTATTTTCTATATTCATGAACTCGGTCTAAGCTAAAAGACTTTTCCCTTCAAAAACGATGAAATTGGCCACAAATAGCCATTTACCGCTCTTTGCCAAAGTACTCTCAATGGGATCCCATTGGCCATATAAACTCCATTTCAGATAATTAGGTACTGCAGTTGTTATTGACCATTGACTTATTTTCAACGTCTCATTTGTGAAGCATTAAAAATGACAAAACGTTTTACAATAACAAACAAACAATACAAAGTAATTATTCCGCTACGTTAATGCGTAGATAATCCTCTGTCCCAGTCTTAGTACATAAATACAGTGTCCTAGTGTAGTCTGTATCTATTACAGCTTAGAGGCGGTGACGTTAGGCATCATGTCAACACGCAAAGCTTGAAATGTAACCTACTTTTGTATCTCATTTACTCTAGCATGCATGACAAGTACATCTCCATGAACATACATCATTATGTGGCCCTGACTGACCTAGCTGACAGTACCCATAAACTTTATGCTGAGGCTAGATTTAACTTAAGCGTTAATAGCCTAATGGGGTACGTATTTCCGATCACGAGTTCAGGGGTTCGAATCCCGCTATTCGACTATTATCGTAAACCATATCCTAGCAAGCCTAGAGCTTAGTTGATATGGTAAAAGAAATATTTGTAAATTTACAAAATGCTAATATTTTAAAAACAAAAAAAAACACACCTTAAATTGGCATAGGTATGACAAAAATAAAAAAAAACACCAGAAATAAAAGAATGTATCTAAAGTAATCATTTAATATATAGATATATGTTACAGCTACAAAATGAGTAGAATGAAAGATGTAAACGAAATATAAAATTAGCAAAGTGAGCCGAGCAAAGAATATTAAACAGATCTAACCTAGCTTAGTAACATTAACATTTTATTAAAATAAACCAGATCGAAATTATTTTCAGTAGGTTAAACGTTTTAGAAAAACTATAAATTGTAGCATCGAAGTACGTTTCATGAGCTCATTTCAATTTAAAATATAATGAGTTCATTTTAAATTCTTTCGTTTAGTTTTTTCTTTATTTTAAGAATTTCTTTTTTTTTTCTAAGAACCAGTTGTTAACTATTGAACACTAAATTGTAGTGATGTTCTATTGCCGAAACATAAATACCAATTTGTGTTTCAGTATTTTCAGGCATTTTTTTTTCTTAAATATGTCGTCAAACTCTAATATTCCTTTAATCGGCACATTAGGTTCTACAACAAAAACCAGGAAATAAATGAATCATAGAATCCTTTTAAAACATAAATCATTTGCATAATTACAGTAGGGCTATCGGAGCCCGCACACCGGCCATGCTTCACTAATCCGCTGTTTGGATGCTTTAACATCAGATCGGTTGTGTACATAATGGCCGCACAATGTAAACAGCGCTACTATGTACACGCCCTTATGTACTCAAGTAAACTGCCTATATAATAGACATTATCTTTATAGATCATCTCTACGTCAACTGTAATTGATATTTTGTGTGTCAACAACCTAAAGTTTTAAATCACGGTCAACGAAATATAATCTTAGTTTGTTCCTCCGATCTAGACTAAATATTTTATATACAAAAAATAAGATTCAATAATAAAATTTATATTACTTTTTACAAATTATTACATGTATGTATATACTCCAAATTTTTCAAGACTTCTTGCCTTCTAAATATAAAAAAATATACAGGACCTTTAATGGTAAGGAATTCAATGGTAGACATCGAGTATATGACATCTTTTAAACAGGCAAATATCACATTTAGGCAAACAGCGTTATTACACGAAATGCAGATGAGTTTGCCGCTTCGCATTACGTCGTAGCGCCAATTTGTAATCCGTTACTGGGTGTGAGAGTGTGGAGTGGCTCTCGTGCTAGACGCGATGGCTGATGACGGAGTAATGTCACTTCAATGATTCAAAACTTTTAAAGAGGTTTTATGCGTGATACAGACGCACTTATGTCACGCACGTGTGATTTGCATATCAGAAATGTTCTAGACGAAAAATGTTTTGTGTCTTACATGTTATATATTTTAAAAATAAGTCTCGATGACTGTACTCAATTTACGGTTTATATCATGTTTAGTGCCGACTGCGGATTGCGCGGGCGTCGGTTCGATTCCCGCTGTCTCTATCCGAACTCAACTCTAGAGATTATTTGGAAAGGTTACAAGAAATAATATTTAAAAAACACATTTAAATCGAATATTTCTTAAAAACTGTATATACGTATTTTCAGATAATTCTAGTAATAACTAGTAAAAACTGGTTTATCCCGTTAATACAGTACGTTACCGTTGACCTAAATAAGGAATGTTACAGTCCTTAAAAGATAGCAACCTGCTATTTTCTACTTAGTCGTAAAAGCTGACTGTGGTGTTTTAACACGTGATGTTTTCAATGTCTACATACTTCTAAACTTACGCAACCATGACTTAGAAACTGCACGGCTAGGAAATAGATAACAAAAGTAAATTTTTTGAACCTGATAAATAATTGGTTTATAGGATTTTTTTACGATATCTTTATGGTAATTTTGACCACAAGTTTGGTCTCCACGTGTGTAATTTCAGTCACAAACAAAAAAAGAATATACAGTACGAAGCTTAAGGCGTTTCTTTAAATTTGAGGACCATAAACAAAAAAATCTAGAGTCCTATAGTAAGACTTTCTGAAACGAGTTTTGCGAGATCCAAAAAAGTTTTACTACACTTTTAATTAGTCACGACACTTGTCTCAGTAACAGTTGCTCGGTGAATAAAAACTTAAATTACTCAGTGCGATATTTTATGTATCTGAGCAAATTATTATTTTTATTTGAAAGAAGAAAATGTTCACAGTTTTTATTTCGTAAGTATTGCAATTAACATTTTTAATTTAATCACCCTGTATCTCTCTTATGATATCCGGGATTACGTTTAAATTAAAAAAAAATCCTTAGAACTTGAAAGATAAATATATTTTTCGTTTTTTTCTTCATTTTAAATTAATGAAAGAAATATGAAATTACCATTAATTTAATATTTCTTTGTGTTAAATGTAGGTCCCATTCCTATTTTTTTTTTTTAAATATTCTAAAAATATTTTATTTATGGAGTGACACTTACAAAGATTAGCTCGACTCAATTTCATAACACGTAGGATTAAAGTAAATCGTGACTCTATGCAAAAGGAATTTTATCATCGCAAAAATCGAGTAAGCACTACTTTCTTGTACCGGAACATACAAACAAAAATATAGACGAATTGAGTAACTTGAATTGAATGAAAGTGGATTGAAAAAGAACCAAAAAGTGCTTTAAGTTTAAAACATATTAATTATTCCGCTTACAATTTCCTGTATAATAACATTTTCACAAAAACCATAAATTTTCAGCTAACTAGTACAGTTGCGCCTCGTAAATGGGCAAAATTTCGCAACTGCTTGCAACTTCGATTATTTATGAGCACAAAGAATACAACAGTATTAACATTCCTCGGAACTTTAACCCGAAGGGAATTTAAACCTGCACGTTTTCTTATAAACCAGAATGCAACAAAACTATGAATCACGAACACTAACATAACCGACTCGCAGACCTCGAAATCTGCAATCTTGCGTGTTTTATGATGTGTGTCATATACAATACCGCTTAACTCATGGCCCGTTATAACTTACGGCAAAATCATTAGGCAATGGTTAAATAACTAATAATTTTTTACAAAATTACAAAGTTGACATCATCCAATTCTTGGAAGTTTACTTAAATCAGTGCAAGTTTGCTTTTTATTTTATGTTACCGAATCTAATTTTTATAAAATAGAAGATTCTCATTTTCGTACATCATTTTTGAACCTGTTGAAATTCAAGAAATTAAAATTAGTTTAACAATTTTACTGAAAGTTTTGTTAGTTACAGTTCATTTTAATTACTTATTTAAATATAATTTAAACATTATTTTATCATACAAAATATAAAATAATTATGCTTAAAAACTTACCAAAAATACGCGCCGTTTTATAAATGCAAAACAATCACTTGTAAATCTTGTCATATTTTTTAATTCATTAAATTAATTTATTTAATGAAATTACTAACTAAACGTTTACATGTCAAAATAAATTATAATAATTTTTTTACGGGAAAGACATTGTATTCGTGACTTTTTTTATGGCATGCGAATGGCACGGGGCATCATAGAGCCAGCGCGACTTGCGAGCGAGTGTAGTCTGTCGCGGCAACTGGCAACTGGCAACAGAGCTAAGCGGGAGTATGCCGAGATTTGATAGGTCAACGCATCGCTTACGAGTGTGACTGTACTTTTTGTTCAAATAGCTGTAACTGAAACTATACATAAGTTTTCTGCAATTGTAATCTTTGCGTTGCTTACGAAATCACTTTGATTTTCACATCCTATGTCTAGATATTTTGGAAAACATATAACACAAAAATATGCTTCATTTTAGTTTTATAGAACTCCAAATGTTATCTTATATCATGAATAGAATTCGGTATAATTTTACCTTTAGGTATGAAATTCATGATCTACAGCACAACTGTAAGGTAGTCTAACGACGGCACTACCGATGCCTAACGTTATTAAGCGTTAGTTAATTTTAATATCCTACTCTGACCCGAAGTATATTTCGCGGATATCGGCCACACACTCAGTACTTAGTTTAATTCCTCCTTCCGGTAATTGATATGGATGTCATTCAATGGCGATATATTATGCTATTATAGATGTGAAGAAAGGGACGTTAAAAGAACGTTAATTCAAGTTCGTCTCGGTTTCTCTTAATGCTACCCTTTCTAAATTTTTGTTTCAAAAAGGTTAATAAAGTTCTAACATAGGTTGTTTAAAAAACCTATATTAGACAAACATATTTGTTTATTAATATACCTACTACTAAATATTTAAAAAATAAACTCTAACATTTTATTCTACTCAAACGACATGGACGTGTAACATATTTATGAGTGTTCTCATGTCTCTCTGTCATGCAAACACTACTTACGAGGTGCCCACTTCTAGTTTACGTAGGTTTTGCCGTTTACAAGCTTCGTAGTACTACGTAATGAACGTAATGTACTACGCTCCATAGATATGCATTTTTTCTCTAACATTCAGAATATTTTTTTTCAATTTCGTTCCGGTGCAAATGTTGAAAGTAAATGAGTTTGACAAATATTAATTTATTAATTACTTAAAAGTTAAGTGAATCCTGAGAACATTACTCACGCCCCTAACCCAGAGAAGTAGGCAAAGACCATCCTCCTTTTGGCACGGTTCTGCCTGCTTTCCTGAAAATGATTTTAAAATTATTAAATATTCAACTACTTCTTATGTATTTAAACTCTACTTGGGTATAATGACCAGGTAAAACAAGTCGAAAACAGCCTCTAATATAACTTAAATTTATTAATTTTTACCATTCGTTTTTGAGACCGTATTCAAAGGGTAATTATAGTTAGACCGCCAGCTTAATTGCCAAAAATATTTACCGGTTCTTATTTCAGGTACCATCGATCAATTTGCTAACAGAACTGACCAACAACAGCGCTTCTCCCTCAGGGCTAGATATCCTGGGTTGACTGTTCAATATAATATAATACAATAAAATACAATGCAATGATTTTAATTTCGTATTCCTCTTTATTCATAATGACATTGGCTATTTCATCGAAATCGATACAATCGAGACAATCGATATAATACTTTACACAGGACGCACAAACATCACTAATATGCAGCTGTCTTTATGACAGCGTTGTTATTTGGATTTGATAAAAAGTTGATAATAAGTTTATACCAAGGTAAATGTATTGTTTACAATGGGTTTTTCTTTTTTATAATTATTGAACAATTGAACCAACTATTTGAACAAAATATGTTAATAATAAGCAGCTGATTATTTATGTAAACAAACTAAAATGGAACCAACATCACCATGGAAGACGCCAAACCAAGTAATGCAACTTCACAAGCTGAAACGAAGGAAAAAAGCTTTACAGGTAACTTCAATTTCTTCTATTTAGTATATCTCTCTATAGTCTCTCTCTAGGCAGACATTTACTTATTTCATTTGCATAAAACATACTTTTTTAAATTGTTACAGGAGCGAATGAAACAACCTTTAAAACCACCGAGTGAAGAAAGTACTGCTCCTAATTCAACAAATTTAGATTTCTCAAGAATTATCAATGGTGATAAAAGAAAAAATCCTTTTTCAAAGTAGGTGGAATTAAGTTCATTTTGTCTTTACCCAAATGTCATAAATTAAAAAAAAATGTTAAAAAGAACACACCAAAAAGATAGATGTTTTAATTTTATAGATTCAGTGCGGAATCAAATAAAAAACAAAAGTTGGAATCAGGGAGACAAATAGAAGAATCAAGTGACAACACTCTGTTTGCTCTTCTTAAGTTACCAACAAATGTAGCAGATAAGCCACCAGTAAAAGTTGACACTGAGAAACTTTCTACATTCTCCAACCTTTTACAAAAATACACAGCTGACCATACTGTAGAAACAGTAAGTATTTAATATTGAAATAAAAAAATTAAAAAGTTTATAGGCCTAAATAAATATTTATAAGTAGATTGTGAGTATTTGGAGTAAATCAATTTATATCTTTTTTAAAGAAAATTGTTGAAGAAAAACACAATCATTTACCAATAGACTGGGCTCTAAGGACAAAGTTAAGGTTGATGTCTGCTAAGCCATTTGCTTGGACTGCAACTTTAAAAGCAAGTGAAGAAGCTTCCGGGATCACTGGGTATGACTTACAAATCCTAGCTTATACTTAGTTTGTGTACTACATAATTTATAATGTTATTTATACACTAAAAATGAACTATTTAAATAATAATTTTATGAACATAATGCATGCTGCTCAGGACTTAAGAAATTGGCAAGGTAAGTAATAAAAAAATAACTGTGGAGATTTATTAGGGAACTTCATTGATTTAGTATTATTAGTAGTTCAGTACACAGGATATTAGTAGTTCAGTTTAGATAGAGTTTAAAAGTATTGTATGAAATTGCCTTCCTAATAATATATACATTTAATAAATCAGAGGAATTAAAATTAAATGATTTCTTTGCCAGTTTTGTCCGTTGCCTGGATACATCATCATTAACACTGGACACATCACCACGGGCACGGTTCCATCAGTGCTGTCTGTACTGGCAGCATCCACAGCTACCATGGCTGCAACTGTTTCCCCGCGCCGCTCGCCACGCCGCAGCCCCTGCGCTCTCCCTCAGCACGACGCAAAGAGAAGCGCTGCACAGGGAATGGACTGAAAGTTTTCGTTCTTTATTCCAGGTCAGCTTTTGTTTCTAAGAAATAAGGAATTATTCAGGATCAGGAAGGAATAATTTCAATATGTATGGTATTCCTTGTTAGTTGGTGCGTGCGCTGCACTGTCCGTATTTCTACCTGTGTGCGAACACGTTTACGTGTCTGTTCCGAGCGGCGGGCGTGTGCGGCGTGTCGGAGCCCTGCGCTCTTATCGCGCCCACCACACGAGGCTTCCGCCAGACCTTGCGCCAGGAGGGTAAATTATGTTTATTATAACTTTACCAAGTCAAATTTCATTGTTTTATAATGTTCTTTTATAAAATGTAAGGAATACGTTTCTAATTTAGTTATTTTCTTACTATGAACACAATAATGTAATTAACTTAAATTATTTTTATTTATGTAATGTTGTGTTTCTACTTCAAATTGTTAATTGATATATCGATATAAATAATTTAATGCATTATCGTCTCTAGATGTAGAGTTTACGATGCCGCTTCGTCCTGACAACAAAAAAAGACTGAACACATCTGAGGAGGAGCGTCCAAAGAACTCTTCGACGGACAGCTGCTATGATACGATGGAGGCCAAGCCGGCACACGACAACCAGCAGGCCAGCTCGGGTGATGAAGAGGACCCTGACCAGTTCTTGTCGCAGCTGGGCTTGGAGACTGAGGATCTTAGAAGGATAAACAGTGCTCAAGTTAGTAGTTTATTATAGTTTTAAAAACTGGTTTTACACTTCTTAAGTCCTCAGTTTGTACCCATAAAGATAAAGGTTCACATTTTTAAACTTCATTTTTTTTTCAGTATTTAGAACCATGACATCAGTGATGCACCTTTGATTAAGATGCTTTAGTGGATCAAAAAATAATTTACTTATTAATCATTTTACACAGCGCAATACTAGGAATTTAGTGATAGAGGAGTCAATTGTTGTTACTATGTTGTATCTTCCAGGCGCGCATAACGCAGTCAGCGGAGAGCAGCGTGGACAGCGCGGCGGAGTCGCTGGTGCTGGTGCGCGGCGCGGAGGCGCAGGCGCTGTTCAACTTCCTCCTCAACTGCCGCTCACTGGCCAGCGACACGGGCGCGCTCGCCGGAGTACCTCCCACGCTGCTCGCGCCCACCGCATTCCACGGGGGGGCGCTGCAGTCACTTAAGGTAAATGCTCTAGAAACTTCTTTACATCCATTCGTTAACATCTTGACAGATACTACTACGATTTGTAAGAAATCTTCTCATATATCGCATACATTTTACCAGTAAATGCCGATGCAAGTCGGTGGCACTGACTATGTAACATCCGTCCCTCAACAATATTTCTAAAGCTCCTTCTGATGTTTCGTCGTCTTTTAAACGTTTAACATCTGACGACATAAACGTAATCCTAAGGGAGAACTTTTGGGTGATTTTTTCATATAGTTGATATGTCTATTGCTTGTGAGCTTATGGGCTGCTCTTTTTAGTCCGTTCCACTGTTAAATAAGATAGCACGATACATTACAGTTCCGCGAGAACACAGTGCACGTGGAGAGCAAGAAGTACTACTCGATAGAGCTTCGCGGACCGATCCTACCGAGCGCGGTGCCGGCGCTGTGCGGCGCGCTGCGGGCCAGCGCCGCCGCCAGCTACAGCGCCACCTTCGCACACCTCGCGCCCACCCTCGCCTTCTCCTGGGCGGCACAAGCCATCGCACAAGGTACACCCACAAACTATTATAACTCGAAAAATATGTATGACGTGTATCAATTTTATTTAATTCCCAATATAAAGCTAAATTAAAAAAATATCTGAAACACTACAAATAGCATGAAATTACAAAACAATATAGAAATTTCTATGACACTCGAAGAAACCACGTTTTCCCTGTATTTTAAGTTCAACTTTTGTTCAATTTTGATAAATAATGATTAAGTCATCACAATAATACTTTTTTTGTAGCGACAGTCTGTTATTCAATTTCAGAGGAAACTTCAAAAGAAAATGAACCGAATCATTTCACCAAAGCTTTCAATAAGGAGAACTTATCAGACTGCGGCATCAACAAAGACATGCTCCAACTGTTTTGTTCCTCGGACCCCAGTTTAGTGAAGTCAATCGACAGTGTCAAATATGATGCAGAAGACGAAACATATTCATGGTGATTGTAAGCGTGAGTTTCCACTGACGAAACCCATGTGCATTGACGTCTGTTTTTCAAAGAGAGCTGTTTTTGTCAATGTGTTACGGCAGTGGAAACTCACAGTTAATTTGTGTGCATGTGTGTGTAACTATTGTTTATATGATGAAATAAAATTGTTTTGAAATCAGATTGTATTTTAATTGAAACAAGAAATCACTTAATCATATGATTTATTCAATTTTCATTTTTGGTAAATTAAAAAGTAAAATAATCATATAATCGACAATCACTTAACAATAAAACAAGATTCATACAGATCAGGATGAAATAAATAATATTTGTGGGAATTCTGTTTAATATGACATTGTTAACTAACTGCACTAATTACTAATTATCACTTCAAACCCAAGGTGGAGCAGGAATCTTGGAAAGCTTAAATCTAACGTTAATTATCTACGCGACTGCTGACTCCGCCAACTGGAAAAGACAAATGGAAATTAAAAAAATGTAACTTAACACATACTACATTAAGTAGTGTCATAATTATAGATTTCTACATTAGGGTAATGTTTAAGCGTGCTTACCTGGCAGATGCGTCAAGTTGAATTACGATGTAGGTTACGAAGGCTTATGATTTCTGCAAAAGAAAAATCATAGTTTTAAATACTAAATTATAAAAATATATGTGATATCCACAAAAAGAAAAATAATATTGTTAATATTGATTATTATTGAAATTTTTAAGATTAGATGATTTACTCAATAACTATAATAAAAGTTCAAAAAAATAATCATAAAAGTTAATACACATTGTATTATATCCCTCAACTAAAAGAAAAAAACATAAAAAAGACAAGTGTTTGTGTGGTTACATTAGATGGTGTGGAGGTGGGCTGTCCGGGCACGGAGTACTGCGGCCGGAAGTTGGAGAAGTTGGCGGCAGTGTTGGCGGAGGTCGCGAAGCCCGGCAGCGTCCCGGTCGCGTTGAACCCGCCCGGGAACTGCGCCATCTGCGCCGCTGCAACACCAACACACAACATATTATACTGCTGCACTACATCATGCAAATCAATATTTACACTATTATTTGTTTTATGTAAAATTCATAGACTATTTTTATACACAGAAAGATATTCGTTGAAATGAAAAACAAACTTAATGAAAATATCAACAATCAAATCGATTTTAGTAGACTTGGTTCACGAACAGTAACGTTTTCTATTCTCTTAAAAAAATAATTTAACAATATTGTATATTTAGATAAAGATGATGCATTAGTATTTTTTTGAAATTCTGCAATGAGATGGGTCAATGTTACCTGGCGGCAGCGGGTTGCCTGCGGTGGCGGCGAGACGCGACAGTATGGACCGCTCGGACATCTGCAGGCGCTGCGCCACCGGCGGGATGCGCGCCAGCGTCGCCGGCAGACGCGACACGTCCGACTTCATGTCCGACAGCAGCTCCTCCAGCTGGTTCAGCACCTGCACGCGCACCACAAACATTAGCATTGCTCGTATATCACAAATATCTTATAGACGACTACTATATAAATAAATTCAAAAGCAACTTTTTGCTAAGAACATATAATAAAATTGTTTAAACCTTAAAATTCAAATTAGGGGCAAGTGACATAAAACTTATGTAGTGTGGCTCGTACCTTGTGCAGCACCGCGTTGGCGGGCTTGTTGCCGGCGAGGGACTCCTTGCTAAGGTGCTGGTGTGACTCGGCGAGGCACTCCACCTCTGCGAAACGCGCGTTCAGCGACATGGCGGGGTGGTTGGGGTCCTGCGTCAGGTTCAGGTACGCCGCGCGACGCAGCTGCTCCTCGATCACCAGCGCCTGCTCCAATAACTAAAACACACATTTTACTTTTATAAATATCACTCAAATAATTAAATCAATACAATTTTAAATAATTAAAAACTAACCTTAAACCGCCTGGCGAGGAATTTGTTCTTAATCTCGAGGAAGTTTCCTTTGCCGACGTCCATTTTGAAAGGTTCGTTGATGATGGCGAAGCGCAGGTCGTTCTGTATGTCCTGCCAGCGGCCGTAGCCGTGCGTCACGATGCCGGCTAGGAGCCAGTAGTCGTGCCGTCTGTGCCAGATCTCGTACTCGCGGCCGGGCGCCGCCGCGCGCTCCTCGTTCAGCCACAGCGTGTGCAGCTCTGTGAACCCGCCGTCCGCTATGTTGAACATGAACTTACGTCGCTCCACTTTTAGGTCGTCCTCCTCCTTTACTAACACAACGTCGTCATCGTCTTCATCCTTCTTTTCTTCTTTAGGTTTCTCCGAAGCCTCCGACTCGGTCTTGTCGCTCTTCGCATCGTCCTTCTTGTCGGAGTCGTCCTTCTCCTCTTTAACTTTATCGCCCTCTTCGGACTTCTTGTCATTTGATTTTTCATCTTCCTTCGGAAGCTCCTCGTCGACAGACATTCGCCTTTCTTCTTTTATTTCCTGTTTTTCTTTGGGCGTTTCCTTTTCGTCTTTCTTTTGTTCTTCTTCTTCCTTGATATCGCTCGTGTCCATCGGCTCATCTTTTTCTTTACTCTCTTTTGAATCAGACTTTTCATCTTTAGGTTCTTCCTTGTCGTCCTTCTCGGAGCCGCCCGGTGTGGGCGCTTGTCCTGTGGCCTGCGCTACTTGGGTAGGAGCGGGCGAAGGTGCGGCTGATGTTATCGGTGTCGCCGTCGACGGAGCCGGACTGGGAGCTGCGCTCTCGTTGGCAGCGCCGGCTATTTTCACTGGCTCCACTGGCTTACGTATCAATTCTGGCATACTGTAATAACCGTTGATATGTTCAAATTCTTGAACTTTCTTTCTGATCAGACTCATGACACCGATTCGCGTTAAGACATGCTGCCGAGATAAGCCTTCTCTTGGAACGCCGTCAGCGAAAGTTTCAGCATTATCTGCACCGGGTTCACATAAATGTCTCATGAACAGCGAAACGTACGCTTTAAAGTTGCGTTCAGATTTGCCTCTAAGATCTCGAACTAGCCATTGAGAATTAAATGCGTCTTGAGGCGGCATACCGTAGCGCATTATCGCGTTAAGGAACGACTTCCTCTGTCTGGCGTTGAAACCGAGCACCTCCATGTTACCACCGACTCGTGCGAGTAACGGAGGAAGAGGCCTGTCCCGCTCCTCGCGCCTCTCCAGCCTCCTCTTGCTGCGGCGACTGAGAAGATCGCCGTTGTCATTCTTTTCGTCGAAATCGTCATCTTCTTTATCATCTTCACTACCTTGTGAGAAGTCAGAATTATAGTCGGAACCATTTTCCTGCCACGTGGAATCTTCACGGTTTTCAGTTTGAGCAACACTGCCGTCGTTGTAGTTAACTTGTTTACGTACTCGCTTGCCTTTACCGAGTGTTCTCGCTTGGTCTTCCTGGTGCTGTTCGTAATGATGCCTAAGCAACTTGATCCAGTAAGCTGGATCAGTGTTTTCGGCTTCTTGTTTAATAATCTCAGTATCCACTTCCTCTTCGCCGTCACCTTCTTTAGTGGAGTAGCTGGCCACTTTGAAGGAGCTCAGGTACTCGTTAGCCCAGGATTCCTTTTGTTCGATACCTTCCTTGGATCGATCGAGCAATTCGGCCACAGCTCTATCGTCGTAATGAATAGCTTCTTCTTTACCTTCTTCTTCTTTAAACAGTTCCTCTGTACCGAATCTCAAAATATCATCCAACTCTTGCTTAGTAAAGTTGGCACCTTTGCCGCCCATGCCGGGACGCACGACCAAGTGAGTCAACATCATCTTCCTTTTAGCTACTTGTGTAACTCTTTCTTCAACACTGTTACGCGTCACGAAGCGATAGATCATCACCTTATTCGCTTGACCTATACGATGAGCACGAGAGAACGCCTGAATATCGTTGTGAGGATTCCAATCGGAATCGTAAATGATAACAGTATCCGCCGTGGCCAAATTAATACCCAGACCTCCGGCTCTCGTCGAAAGAAGGAACACAAACTGTTGAGCTCCGGGTGCGTTAAACCTATCAATAGCTTCTTGACGAATAGTTCCAGTGATACCACCGTCGATTCGTTCATATTTGTACCCTTCTCCTTCGAGGAAATCTTCTAAAATGTCTAACATTTTTGTCATCTGTGAGAAAATCAGTACTCTGTGTCCTTGTTCCTTAAGTTGTTTCAACATTTTAGACATAAGAACTAATTTGCCGGACGCCTTAACTAATGCCTGTGTTTCGTAATTTCCATGAGGACCCAACGGCGCCTCTTCCGCCGCCACGGGGAATAGGTACGGGTGGTTACAACATTTCTTTAAATCCATCATTACATTAAGTAAGGACACAGTTTGACCACCACTCTTGGGATTCAAAGCTTCATAGTTTCTGGTAAGAATGTACTTATAGTATTTCTTCTGCATCGGCGACAACTCCACTCGCACGATGAACTCGGACTTCGTCGGCATATTCTTTAGCACATCGGCCTTCAAACGTCGCAGCATATGCGGCCCGAGCATTTCATGAAGCCTCTTGACTTGCTCCTCTTTTGAAACGTCCGCGAATTCATTTTGGAAAGCGGCTAGATCGTTGAATTTATCTTTATTTAAGAAATTCAAAAGATGGAACAACTCCTCGAGGTTATTTTGCAAAGGAGTACCGGTCAGGAGAAGTTTGTAGTTGATGTGATAGCCGGCCAGAAGTCGGAAGAATTTGGACTGATTGCTTTTAAGCCTGTGTGCTTCGTCGACCACCAAAACGGCCCAGTCGATAGAGCCTAAACACGTAGAATCGATTGAGATCAACTCGTAGGATGTAAGGAGGACGTTAAACTTCACCTGTGACTTAATTTTGGAAGGCCTTCCGCCTCTATTTGCGCCATCATCGAACGTAAGCTCGTTCTCTCTTATAACGGCTCTAGAATCTTTGTCGCCGACATATGTAATACAGTACAAATCGGGGGCCCACAGTTCAAATTCTCTCTCCCAGTTGATAATAGTTGACAAAGGTACTGAGACCAAAAATGGACCTTTACAATGTCCTTCTTTGAACAACGAGTAAAGGAATGTAACCGTTTGAATGGTTTTACCGAGACCCATCTCATCGGCAAGAATGGTATCGATTCCTTGTCCCCACGAGTACCGCAACCAGTTGAGACCCTCCAGCTGGTATGGATGCAGCTGCATTCCAGTCTCGTATACAAAAGGCGGCTGATCTTCGTACTTTTTGTTGAGGTTAGTTGTGGGACGTTCTGGCGGGGGATTGTATTTCTTGGCTTTCATCTGCAGTCCACTGCTGCTCTCATCATCATCAATAACATCTTTATTCTTGCTCTTGCGGCCGGCTTTCTTGCCTTTGCTGCCTTTTGTCTTGCCTTCAGAAGTGATAAAGGCTCGCATATCCTGAAAAGATAACATGGGTTGTTAGTTGTCCGTACGAATATTGTTATACAAAAATATGACTAAATTAAATTAATACCTGATAATACTCGATAGCATTCTTAAGTCCTGCAATGTCGGCGTGCTCGGACTCCCAGGTGGCCTGGTCGTAGGAGAGATCGCGCCACTTCACCAGGTAGAATGTGGTGCCGTCACGCGCCGTGCGGTGGTTGATTACGCGGTGGACGATCAGCCACTCCGGTTTCACACCGTACCTTAAAAAACAACAACAATAAACAAAACTCTGGGCACCTATAATTACGATGAATATTCTTTATACTAATAGACATTATTGTCTCCCACATGGGACTGTTTCAAAATTTATACCTGTAATATTTTTCCTCGAGTATTTTCTCGTCGGGATAGTTTTCAGGGTCGTGTTTGTTCTTGAGGCGCTTACGTATTTCGCGCTCCTCAAGTGGCTCCTCCAGCTTGGGCGGCTCCTCGGGGTCCGATTTGCGCATGTAGTACCGGTACATCAGCGGATGGAACACGTCCAACTGAAAACATATGCAAATAATATTTTGAATATAGCCATTGCAATTAAATTTAAAATCTTTTTTTATCTGTTAAATGAACAAAAATTGAAAATAACCTTTTAAAATATGACGGAATGTTATTTTTAAAATACGAAATATGGCTTGCAAATGACTGAAATTGATTAGTAAAAGTTTGAACTTGAAAAATTTATGTCGCCTCCTCCACCTGACACTTTCTATCGTATGCTTTTTTGTGACATTGACTTTTTTCATCATTTAGTATTATAAAGTAGTTTAAGGTAGAACTGACCTGTATCTCAGATATCCAGCTGCAATGCCAGTAGGAGCGCTCGTGCCACTTAACGAAGAACTCTCGAGAGCGCGGCGCTTTCGTTTTGCCGGCGCTCTCTATCCATCTCCAAGTCAAAATCTTTGCCACTTTACCCTCCAACGGTAGACACTGAATTAACAAAGAAAACATTTAAAATCACATTTATACTAAAGTAATGAATAATACTAGAAAGAATAATGAAGCCACAAATACTATAATATATAAAACTATTTAACTACTAATACTTACACTACATCGTGGACATTTCCATTCTCCGTCGGGCACCTCTTCCAGTGGCGGATTGAGACAGAAGCGATGGTATGCCGAAGGACATGAATCGCAGCATAACAACTCACCTCCATCTTTACATATCCTTTAAAATAACATTTACAACATATTAAAATATAAAATATCGGAGTTAGGTTACATTTTGAAGAAAAAAGATGGTAAGAGCCAACCCAGACAAATATACATCCATCATATTTACGACAATCGAAGAAAAAATTTATGCAAGGTGTGCCAGAATCGCGCTGAATGGAAATCCATAATGGCCCTCAACTGTTGAGGTATGTAATTCCATGCCGCTAAGATTTTTTCACCAGTATGATCGATCTGGTCAGGAGTTCAATATTGGTCTATGTCACTTTATATACTGACCTGCAGAACTCCTGGTGCTCATCATCATCTTCCTGGTCCTGGTTGCCCTCGGCCTCGCAGTGTGGGCAAGACCAGCGCCCTTCAGGCGTCTCCTCCAGTTCAGGCTCCAAGCACACCAAATGGTAAGCGCGAGGGCACGTGTCACACAGGATTATCTCGCCGCCTTGTTGGCACACCTGTTGCAAACCATCATATGAACAAGTTGCATAGATTTTACTAAATTACTATAAGATAAATAAGCTAGTTTCGGTAAAAAAAATTGTGTAAAAAAAAAATAAAAAATTCTATCGCAACGTTTAGTAGAACAAAGTATTAGACTTATTTATGGTATTTCGTTTAATATTTTTAAAGACTGAATTTTTTTACTAAATTTTATTTCATTAACTTCCAAATTAAAATGTCTTTAGTGTGCTTACTTCACAATAATCCTGGTGTTCGTGTTCGCCCTCCGCGCCGTCGGGGAATTTGTTAGTAGTCTTCAATTTCTTCTTCTTCTTGCTCTTATTGCCTATTTTTGTCTTAGCCTTCTTCTTCGGTTGTTGCTGGAGATATTTTTTAGTTATTAAGGTATTATCAAAGATGCTGTGAAGGCTTTGAAAAGTCTAGAAACCAAGGCATGTTTATAGAAAAAGCAGCCATAACCTCATTTTCAAGTGTTTTTAAAAGCGGCCGGCAACAGAGTTTTCATCTTAATTTTAGGATTTTTTAATCAATAAATGAATTTTAAATGTAAATAATTACTGGTGCATTAGGATCTTCATCCTTGGGCTGCACGCCCTCCTCTACGGCGGCGGAGGGCTTGGGCTCCTCCGCCTCGGCCAGCATCTGCTCAAACTCCGCGTCAGAGTCCGTGTTGGCGCCAGCACTACCCTCATGCTCTTCGTCCTGCTGAATTATAATACACGAATTATGCCAATATCGTAAAACATACGAATATTATTTTTTTCTTAGATATATTAAAGGAAAACACACTCGAATTTCCTCTTCTTTCAAGAGTTTTCCTTAAGTGAACATGATGAGCAATTTTTACGCTGAATTAAGGTAATTTATAACGAAATATATTATATATGTGTCGGTGTTTCCGAATTTCTATTGTAAGGCTATGTCTTTAAGAACATTCTGATATTTTTGAGAACGAAGTCATAGCGATAAAAAATAAGGTATAAAATGGTACATGCGAGGCCAGTTTGAGCAATAAACTTACACTGCTGGTCCTCTTGCGCTTGCTGAACTTGATCTTGAGAGTGGGCACCTTGGGCTTGCGGCCGGGCTTGCCGCGCGGCGTGTTGCCGTGCTTGGGGCGGCGGCCGCGCTTGCGGGGCGCCGGCGTGCCCTCGTCGCTCGCCTCCTCCTCCTCCTCCTCTTCGGGCTCATCGATAACATCTTCTATCTGTTGATGTTAACATTTTTTTACATTTTTGTAGAAATCGCATTTTACTAATATTATAATTGAGAAAGTTTGTATGTATGGATATTTGTTACAAGTAACAAATAATCTATTTCGTACCAAACGTCATGACTGAGCTGGATAGAGGTTAGATTGCGTCTACAATCTACATTCTAATTACAAGAAATTAGGATTTCTGAAATTGTCGTAAACTCAATAATGTACAAATACAATAGGTAGCAGTAATTTAAATGTCATCAGACCACATAACTTTAACTTAATAAAGAATATATAGTTACTAAGGATAAATAAGACCTTACCTTACTACTATCCTTCGGTGGACGTCCTGACCTCGGCTTTGGCGTGTAGTCTGAGGCTGTGGATGTGTTGGTGTTCTCTTCAGAGCCCATCGCTTGTGGACCTCCACTCAGGTGTGGATTAGTTTCGTAGAACAAGCGCCACTTGGCAGCTACGAGCATCATTAACTTTGACACTGGTACCTTTACATAAACAAATAAACATATAAACACTATTTATAGAATTCAAAAAGTCATAATTAATCAAAAACGTGTTTTAAAGGTATTATGATATCATCCCAAGTCTTTACTTGGATTAGTTGGTACTTGGTTGGTGGGCGGGTTGGTCGTTCTAATTGTTTGAAGTAAAGGTCTTTACCTATAATTCAAACAATTAGATTATCTGTGGCCATTCATTTTTTTTTACATTTCTGTGAAAATACCTTAGGGTTTTCTTTGACGAGAAGCGGCCGAACATGCTGCTGGAATAACTTATACGATGTGAGGTTCTCAAAATCAGCATCGCTGTATTGTATATCCACATCTGTGAGACCGAATGACGAGCACACCTCTTCTACTGTTGGCATACCTAAAGAAAAAAAAATGAGTAACAATTAGTATAGAAATACTTCGAAACTATAACGTAAATATGCCTAATAAGAAAAAAAATCAAACTGTAGTTTACATCAAACTAGACACCAAAATAAATAGAAATTATCTTTCTAATCTTACTAATATTATAAATGCGAATGTTTGGATAAATGGATGTTTGTTAGAAGGTATCTTCGGAACGGCTGTATGGATAGCTCTAGAATTTGGCATATGTATAGAGCATAGTCTGGAAGAACACATAGGCTACTAATAAAGTTTTTTTTAATCCTGTGCGAACGGAGTCGGGGGCAACAACTAGTTTAATTAGCAACAAGCAAAATAGGTGCAAATCAAAGGGCTGTCAAATTGATATATTCGAATCATAGAACATCTGAAACTTTTGAAAATCGACCAAGAATTTCTATTATTTATGTCATCAAATTGTTTCATCAACAAAATGAGCAAACGCGATGAGTGACAAGTTTAATATTGTGCGATAATAATTCAACAAACAAATATTGATCATTGCAAGGAAATACGTCAACATGCTCTCGCAGCTTTATTACTTTGGTTCAGTCTTAAATATTGATATTTACTTGCAAGATATATCTTTTAAAATATTAAAAACGCTACCGTAATTCGACTACTCTATACTTTTGTGAAATACTAAAATATTTAATTTTTCTATTTGCCAACAATATAATTCCCAACAAGGTCGTTATCAAAAACCAGTTAAAAATCGTTTAATAAATGATATCGTTTTAATACGTATTATTATCCTGTTATATTTCCTCTTTTACTTAGTACAAATATAATTTCAAGTCACGTAACCACACCTACACTAATATTACGAAACTATCCACGATATAAAGTTGAAACGTTGATAACATTTCGTGTCAAGGCTGGCAACAAATTCCCATAGTATAGTACCAACAGGTACCATTACCTTAGTAATTAGGCAGTAGACTAACGATTGTAGTACTAAATAAAATTATTCTAGGGTCATCCAACATGCAAGTTTTTAAGCTATACAAATATCTGTATATTTAACAGCAGTAAACATTTTATTGGAAAATATTCGTTGAATCTTCCACTACATTGGTTAAATTTACATATATTTTTTTAAATAATCAAGCCAATGGTCTGAATTGTGTGTATTAAAACTCATAACTATGGTGTGAAAGAATTACATAACAAATTGAATCAGCTCCATTATTCTCACATTTTTATATCAAAAGTTGATATTCGCAATGGCTAATTATAATACGTAAAAAAAATAAAATTTAAAAAATGGTAGTTTCCGAAGGCAATAGTTCTAAGGTTCCAAGTTAATTTTGGTCGTCTATGGCGTAAGTACAAATACAGATTACAAAACTATTTACAATATTTTCTAAGTTAACATTTCGTCATCACAAAAGAAACGCAAAGTAATTGATAGATTACTTAAAAAACGTTAAAAAAAAGTTTCAATCTGAAAGTACTCTCGACACGGCGAGATTTCAACTTCTTTACGTGCTGTTTATAAATAGCCAGTCAATGTAAACAATCACCGGTAAATCGAAGCAAATGTTTGAAAAACCTTTTAAATCTATAAATTCTATCATTATGTGATACGCAGCTGTAACAAAATATTTATAATCTAAACCTGGCTGACGAAAGCATCTTTGACCGCGCGAATTTAAAAAATAAACTAAGTAAGAACCGTATATGTGTCAAATTTCGTATAGATCAGTTGGGCCGTTTTGTATTTACCTGCTAACAAACATCCATCCATCCATCTAAACATAAGCATTTACATTATTAGTAAGAAGTAAGAATGAATATTAGTAACATCTCACCGTCTCTGTGCCATTTTTACATTTTATGAGTTCCGCGCAATAGGCTTATTTAACTGTCTGATCGTACTTTAAAGTATAGTTTTGTTATACTCAATCTATAATAAAAGTATTTCTTAGTGATCGCTTAACGATTCCTTAGGCGTCGAAAACCAGTCGTCTAATGGTAACAAGAGCTATCGATCTGATTATTCAAGATTCTTATGAACTATTTATAAAAAAATTATTAGATTTTCCGAGGATTTTGACCATTCATGATATTAGACACTTGAACTGGATTATTTCCAAGATGTTATTTAGAACAAATTGTAAAGTGGCGAGTTTAGTAACATCTAGACGGTCAAGTTACGGTATATTGTCACATATAACTTTCCAAAGTCATCAGTGCTCGTTATCTCGGATTACATACGGAACTCTCGATTTAAAGGCGTCGTCAACATAGGGCCGACTTCTTGTTATATTATATAATACTGTTTCAGAATATCTATTTGAGAACACAAAGGAATAATTTTATATTTGTAATTACTGTAGTCATCAATACTCCGATATTTTGCCGATTGTCGCTTCTTATATCGAATAAACAGACTAAAGTCTTGTTTAATTTTATGTTTACCTTATCTTTTACATTGTTTAAATAAGGACAAATTAGTGCATGTTTATTTTGCTTTTATGTTTTTTGTATGTAAGTAAAAGTTGCTAATATATATGCGTTTGTTTACCGATCTTTTTTGTATTAAACAAATAATCCTTAATTAAGAATCTGAACACAAAGACGGATGTTGGATAGAATTACTTTTCAACTATTTAATCATTTTGTATGCTGAAAAAGTTGTCCATAGAGAAATTTATTCTTAGTGTAATTAAAAAAAATAATGGCCGCCATTTTTGGTCACGTAACAAAATGGATGACGTAGCAGATGTTGGTACGATCGAAATAACAGGTCATTGATCCGTCGACCTTCGAAACAACGCAATTATGTTTCCACAACTTGCTCAATTCTATGTAGATTTTTTAACATACAATTGTATTGTTTGAAATATTTATAACAGCTAATATTGAATCTTGTTTAGATTGAAGAAAGTTAGAAGTAATTAACATATCTTTAGTATTATATGGCTTAACATATCAATCTTGTCATTTTACTAAGATTGGCTAATTCAGAAATCTGCAATTGGGTCACTCGTTTACTTGAGATCACAGATCAATAAGACAAGACGTAATTACAATTTACATAGTATTAAAATGGAAAAAATCTGAGACTGGAGTTAATATGAAATAATTAATGCATACATATTATTTCTATGCAATGGAGAAAAAAATGCTAACCAAAATATTTACTACCCTTAAGATATTTACACATTGCAATTAGAAAACTATACAGCTAGAAATGGATTAATATGGTTGATTGTTTGACTAAAAATTGTTTACTTACTGGACACAGAGTCAGATGTTGCCGAAGTTGAAGTATTGTGTTTACTTCCCCTGCCCTTTCTTGACTTTTTGCTTGAGGACATAGCACTTAATGCATAGTCACTGTCACCTTCGGCCTCAATTTCAAGACCAAAATCATCATCCTAAAAATAATAAACAATTTTAGAAGAACCAAAACAAGTAAGGAACTAAAAGCAACTTTTTGGCTGTCTTCACAGACGTTTTTTATTACATAAATCAAAATTAATATGCTTACCTCTTCACTTTCATTTTTACGCTTCTTCTTCTTCTTTCTCCCCTTTTTTTCTTCACCTCTAGCCTTTCGCTTCTTACCTTTCTTCTTTTTTCTACCATCTTCTGGTGAATAATCATCATCCTCCTATTAAACATAACAAATGTTGAAATAAAAATGTATGTATAGGTCTATGTTGGTAATAAAATAGCTCACATTTTACTTAAATCTGACTGTATTTTTTCTTTAGTGCATTGATGTTACTATTTTTTTTATAAATACAAATACCAACTTATTGTAGTACCTATGCAACTTACGAAAAGCGAGTATATAACATTATTTACAATGTCTATGTCAGTATGGTACAATCTTATAAACAACTTTTATAAATAAAAACAATAAAGAAATGATTTAATTTTATTTACCTTCGGTGGAGCTTCATCACTCTCACCAGAGTTCTCATTTTGACCCTCACCTTCTTCTACATCTTCGTCGCCTGCAACAGAAAATTGCACTAAAGTGGTCAAACCACTAACCACATGCTTTACACCTGTCCATCTCATGAAGATCCATGGTTTTTCTTAAAGCACGCGCAATGCTAGCGTTAAGGTCACTAATCCCTTTGTTTGGCGTCGTCCATTTTGTTAAGTATAGTAATGAGGGGTAATGCATGTTCTTTTCTGTCACGAACTGCCACATAAAAATATTTACACCCGAACGACAACAAACTCTCGATTATGCCATTAAAACTTGTCTCTTAACACTGCACTGCTCGAATTTGGCTATAATGTTTCACACACAGCATCATCGAAACCAAAATCTTCGTATATTTATTTGCTTGCCGCAAGTAAACATATGATACCGCTATTCGCGGCTTACCTATGACATGCTAGTAACGAAATCAAACGTTTACCTGCGAAAGAACCATCAACTTCATCGTCTGATGCCATTTAGATTAAAATGTAACACAATCTGAACACAAATATATGAATTTAATATAGTAATGATAAAGGACGCGCAGTTTTTGCGACAAATGGTAATTAATTCAGAAATTGATGCCGCCGTCACTACGATGAACGAACTAGCATGGATGAGATAGCAAGATGTCTTTTCTCATTCTAACAGGCGTTTAAAAAAAAAGAAATTTTTGGGATGCCAACTTTTAAAAATGTAAAGTCCCAATTTGTAGGTTAATTCACTGAACGATGTTATTTGTACTTGAATTATAAATTGAGCTTTCAGTTAGAATATTCAGAAGCAACACTTGTCTTCATAAGCTTAGCGATCATGATGCATTTTCTTTGGCGTATAAAATTAACGAATGCATGCATAACTTAATGCATTCTGCTACTACTAATTGGCAAGAATAGGTATTTGAATTAGAATCTGAAAAAAAAATTACTGTCGTATTGTTATTCCTTACATTCTCATTGACAAAGCAGAAAGTAAAGTATAACTTATTACTAGTGTCACCACATCGACAGTTGAATATCATTTCATCCTTGATGTTCTTTGAAAGGAAATTTAGATTTTTAAATGGCAGCAAATATTAATGTTGCCATTGACAAATTTAAAAGTTTTGGCTTATCTGTTTCAATTTTTTTTAATCTTTAACATACTATTTGTCTACGATTTTTATTGATTATCTATGACAACTTGGCAAGTCGTAATGGCGCATTTTTTCTTTTTACGATTATAAAATTTTTCTAATTTATCATCCGATATTTGTTGCTTTTCCGATTTCAATTTTGCAATCATCCTTGTAGTTATTGGTATTCTCATAGTGGTATTAAATAAACAACGCTTTTTAACTTCATAACACTGATTGTCTGAAAACATAATCAAATTAAGTTTCATATTACTGACTTTGCCGGCATCCCTTTAAGACTTTTCAAGTGATCTAATGAATTCACTATTAGATTACGGATCTTCTTCATCAAGTGATACTGAGGAAGATGAAACTGTTGATGACGAAAAGTAAGTTGGAAAATGATATTTCTTTCGGATATTTCGAAAGAGAAAAGGTTTGTCAACTTTTTCTTATAATTTCAGATACAATAAGGATGAATCAAAGCCTAAACTCCCTAAACCGACCCTCGGTGAAAATAGTCTTCAAACTTCAGTTTTTTCAAATCCATTTGCTCAGGCTGAGTTAGCAAAAGCTGCTATACTGGAGAAACATGTAAAAATGGTATATGTTGAGTTTCAATTACTATATTTTCGTGGTTACTAAAAAAATAAAAAAAGTTTAAGTAAGAATTTACAATTTGACACCATACTATTAATATAAATAAATACTTCAGTTTGCTTTATTAACCAGCAAATTTTACAGATTTGTCTTAATGGTACCTAATTTAAACCTGATTACATGCAAATTGTAACCTTATCAACTTATTTAGCTTAGTCATTCTATATTTTATCTATAATTTTAAAAGCAACGCAATATTTAAATAGGAAAAGTTTATATAGAATTATACATATAATCGTCAAGTACATAGTCGGTGACTGTAAGATTCCAGGTAAAGACAATATGCAGATGATAAACGGAAGAAAGATCTGCTGGAACTATAGAAAGGGCAGATGTCGATTTGGTCACAACTGCAAATATGGACATGATTCGGACATACTTAAAACAGATGAAGAGCTACATGCAGAGAAACAGGTAAAAATAATTTTTGATAATAACATTTTATTATAATAGAAAGCAAGAATGTAAATAAAAATTTGCTCTTATTTTTCAAACCATAAAAATCCTATTCAATAAAAAAACTTTATAAAGTCAAATGATTATTTACAGAAATTAAAAACTGTGGTATGTGAAGGTGCGGGAACAATGTCATCGGCACCACCACCACAAGTTATAATTGAAGCATCATCAACTGATGATGATGTTTGGGAAGGTGGAGCTGGTAAGAAGAAGAAGCGACCAGGACTAACCACTGGACTGGTGCCAGGAAAAAAGGTTATTAAGATGTACAAGGAACAAAAACTGAAAGATGCGATAAAGAAAGGAGTATAACATATTATATACATATTGATATAAAATCTTGACAAATAGTTTGAAATTATCATAACAATGTTAATCTTTGAATAAAATGCCCGTAGGTGTAATAGTTTCCCATGTTAACTTATCACTTCAAGATCTTACTCTTTCCATTATGTTTAAAATAATATTCCAATTTCAAATGTTTTGCATTCCTTTGTTACTGTAGGTTTTAATTGCAGACACTTGTATAGATATAAATTGTACTCTGTTTTGACAGAGTATGTAACAGTGCCAGACAAGGATATCTGCCCGATGAGTAGAAGTTAAACTATTATACAACAGCTCACTACCTCTACAGCCACCCTGTGAACATCAACAAAGTGTCACAAGTTCCTTTTCATACTCAAGCTGTCATGTCATGTTTCTTTTTTGTATTGTTGACTAAATAGTCAAAGGAGGATATCAGAGCTGTTGAAAAGTGATACTGCTCTGGTTAATTCTGTTACAAAATGTGTAAAATTTACAGACATAGATGACATAAAAGACATGACATGTTTTTGTGACACTTTCTTGACATTGACAAGGGACAGGCAGTGAGCTGTCATAATATAGTTTGATTTAAGCCCATTGGGCTAGATATCCTTGTCAGTCTATACAAATAGGTGTTTAATTGCATCAATTATGTTATCATAATATTTAAGCATATTGTTAAAGTTACAATTAAGTCTCCACCTATCTGACAGTTCTTAGGATTTATTCTTTGTGTACCTGTAGTATACATCTCTTTCAGATTTGAAAGTTGTTGAATAGGGTGTTTATTTGTAAGCCCATAGAAAATAAAAACATTTATAGATCAATCTACGTTTATTTACTCAAGTGGAATGTGTTTGATGTTTTATATTTCAAAGATTTATTTCTTGCCAAGAATATAAATAAAAGTCAATATATCATTGCATGTATTTTTTATTAGGAAATGACGCAAAAAACATGCAGCAATTAGCCCATAAGGCTTTTAATGGCACTATGTCGTGTTTTTCACTGATATACTGAACAGACAAAATGCAGAAGACTTAAAATATTTAATTTGATTAAAAGTTCTTTTAAAGTTTGAGAGAAAATTAAGATTTTACTTATGCTATGACAATTGAAAAAGCAAACAAAGGATCACTTTCACTGTTTTTATGTTATAAAATAAACGACATTAACAATTGTTGTTAATCGACATATTTTAAATGTTGTGTTACACAAGTACAACTTTTTAAGGTTTTGCTTCTACGATTTCACTACAAAGGTACATAATGATATCACTACATTAAGCACAGCCATTAAAATTATGTCCGAAGATAATAAAACCGAACCTGCGGAAATATTATAGAAAGGCGCAAATACACTCGGAACGAACTGGTCGATCCCAGCAGAAAACATGAAATACAATATTTTGCTGTGCTAATAAATATAAATTTAATTGATGCACTAAAAATAGTGATTTATTTCATTCTTTACATCAATACACAGAAATAATCCATACATTTTTCTAATGATTAAAAATAGCAATGATAAAAATTAAAATAAGTACATTCAAAATCATATTTATTTGCAGTCACAAAATTCATTACCTAATTTTTTGATAAGTTTTATTGTTGCCATCTTTAGCGAAAACAGATTTGCTCCACTACAACATACATAAAACAACGCGGACAAACTACAGTCACTATGACGCTACAACATCAAGATCTTTAAATTTTTATTTCTAATCAATAATGCATGAAATCGATTGGCCTCAGCTAGCAATAAATATATTTTAAGAATAAAAACTCCATAAGAGAATATTTTACCAACTTATAAATAAAATCATTGTTAAATTCATCTAGTGTTGTAGTTTCAATGCAACAACGCTTATTTTAAATATTGCGTTTATTAAGTACTATGACAGGTATATGCGAAATACATTGAATACAATACTGTGTAAAGGCACAAACAATATAAACGAGTTTACATCTCGATATTGCAATCTTTTAGTTTTGCACGGCGCAGTGTTTTATACATAATAATTCAGGAAAATATAAAAATAGATTTTATTTGACTTTTACAAAATTACACGAATATACAATTGCATGAAACTGATCGAATTGCAATAGCGGTATCGTAGTTATTTACTAGACACGATTTTTTTCACTTTATTTAACCTTAACTTCTATAAAATTTTCATGTGTATATTGAAACATTATGAAGAGGAATTTTATAAAGTCGTAATTCTAGAATACATTTAGTAGTGTTTAATTAAGTCTTAAGAGCGACTTTCTTGGGTATCTTTGGTGTTCTCATATCACCGTGACTCTTGAAGTTACTTAGCTCCGAGTCGTGAGCTTTGCCGTTCATGACGATCCCGTTGGCGAGGGGACCGTGCCCGTTCCTCCTGTGATGGCCGTTCACCTTGCCCTCATAGCCGTTCATCTTTTCAGCGTGACCGTTAACTTTATCGCCACCACAGCCGTTCATCTTATCGCCACCACAGCCGTTCATCTTATCGCTATGGCAAATAAATTTGTCACCGGCGTGACCATTCATACTCCACTTAGCTTGTCCTGATAAACCAAAACAAAAATATAAAAACGCCCGTTCATTCAAAAAATAATCCATTAAAACACTGGCAAAATTGTGTTTTCAGTACATAATAAACTTCCAAAAATATATTGATCCTTGGCATCGGTTAGTCAGTGATAAAGGAATCATCGGACGTGACAAAATCAGTGCTCTCTCTGGCCGCACTGAAGGCCTTGGCATCTGCAAAACGACGTGTCGCTTAGTGGTTGCTGAAGCCCCGCGGGCTGCTAACACAACTCTAGCGCTAACAAACACGACAGTACGGTACGGTGCAACACTTCCAGTAGACGGACGTCCACAACTTCTACTTACATTTACTAATAGGGGCACATCGAATATCTATTTATATAAGGAAGATCTATTATGACTAATACACAATTACGCCAGTGTTCATATTAATGACATGCACAAATAATGCAAATTGTATAAATATATCACAATTGTTTGATACGTTGATAGAGTGCACTTATAGAGCATATAAAATGATAGCGTCGCGTCAAAATACAAATCAGACTTTATGTAAATATATATACTTATTAATATAATCATCGAATTTTCCCGAGATTTGTGTATGATTGCAAATTAAAATCTCTTTATGACATTTGGACAAAAAAAAAGATATTTAAATAGCACATTATATTAAAGCAAAATCATTATTTACATAAAATTTCGTTTGTATTTGCGTGTTTGATTGGCAGTAATAATGAAAAGATTAGCATGCATAAAGTACAATACTTGTGCGATTATGAAAATGATTGCCTTCCAAGTACAGTATTATTTTATTGTATAAGTCAATTAAATATAATACGATAATTGGAAGAAAGGAAAGGTATATGTGGATGCAAAATACTTGCCGTTCTGATCGCTGCCGGAGTAATACTTTTTTGAAGTCTTCCAATCTTCTTTTAGCGATAAATTGTACATAGAGTAGGCGGGGTCTCCGGTCACTTCTTTCTCTATGGTTAGGAACTTGGGCAATGATTCTAACAGCGCGTCTTGATCGTACGCGGCGCTGTAAGTTTCAAGCAATACTAGGCCACGACACCTGAAAATTTAAAAATATATCGTTTTAAATAGAAGTTATTTGTATGAAATTTTTTGTAACAAATGCCAGAAACTTTTTGATATTATATAATTAGCAAGCGGCCACCTGAGTTCACTGAAATAGCGAAGCGATCGCTACCCATGGATATGGATAATTGCAAATGCATTGCCAAACTTTAATCAACGGAGGGGACGTACAGCAATAGGACATTTCCTTTTCCTATGCGTCCCCTCCATCGAAATGAGTGGGAAGGGAACGTAAACTAAAATTAGGCCTCCGTCACGCAAATTGCCTCGCCTCACATTGTCAAAATTAGTATGTAGTATGGTAGTTGTGGTTAATTAACCTGGGATGTGTGGGCTGCCTGTAAATGTCCAACTGGTAGTACTGATTGTTGTATATGAAGCAGCGGCGCTTCTTGAATATGGTGAAGTGAGCGTCGTCGCGCTGCGGCAGCTGGTTGAGGTAGTCGCGGTGCGTGAGCTGCGTCCGCACCTCCACCGACTGCCCGTTGCTCGGGTGGAACTTCCTCACCGTGTGAATGTAAGACCAGTGGCCCTTCTGACCGCGCTTGCGCAATCTCACCTGCGCCTTACGGAAGTCGCTCTGCAAGTAATTATGCACCACATCGAAGTCCTGGAAAGGAGGGAATTCCGTGTCCGGTGGTAGCGGAGCCTTGACGAGGAACTTGCGCTTCTTCGAGTTGACATTGAGTCGGTCTCCGGTGTCGATTCCGATGCGTTGACACACGCACGCGATGAGACGGTTCATCTTCTTATCGAAGTCGGTGGAGTTGTCGATGACATCGAAGTACGGATGGCCGACCCACGCCGCGGCTGCATTGTAGTCCAGTTCCCGCGCTAACTCCACGCCTTCGGATCTGCACGCGTGGTCCTACAACCACAACAAATATTACAATGTAATAATGTGATACGTCAGATGATCATTTGACATTGCGACATCACTAAATACCAATTTACACAGTTACTAAGCTAACAGTGTAATATATATACAATTGTAATATATTTATAATTGCTTTATGCATATATAAAGTGACAAAATGCTTAGAGAAGTTTATACAGTATATGTCTAACAACGCTAGATTGATATTGAAGGTCGTTCAGATCATTATTTTTATGGCTGAATGCAGTCACATGGGGAGTGATTTATAGATTACATTATCAATTAAATTTGCATTCTGATATATACATTTTAATAAACACTTCACAATACAAAGTATAGTCATAGGAAAATAAATCATAGAATAAGTTGAAGACTGATGTATTCAAAAATTAATTTAGTGGGTTTTCTTTCGAACTTTATCAGATAAAAAAAATGAAGTCTACACGCGTCACAAATATCAAAATAGCATATGTTACTTTGTTTATGTGGATTATGATAAACGTTGATCTATATTATGAATTTCATAATATCATATTGATATAGACAGTGTTATCTCGGACAGTCCGTCATATTGCGCATGGCGTATGGCCAGAAGCGATACATCAATGTCATCAGTGGCAGTGGCCGCATTGATGGCAAGTCATGCATGCCACTAAATATCATATCACATGTCAATTGAATGACGAAAGCCATGGTGAATGTGTTTACATGGGATCACGCGGCAAACCATGCGCATTACATTTATGATGTATACAATGTATTCATATTGTATAAATAAATAAATTCACATGTTCGGTAATGACATAAATGTGACAAAGCGAATCATTACCATACTCAATTATTTGGCAATTGTAAGTATAGAATGACTTCAACTAAATTGCTCACATGTGCATAATGTGCCAATTAATTATTTATTAAATAATTTAATGCTATAATTTTTATGCTGCTAGATATTTGCAAATTTAGGGAAAGAACGTGTATCTGGAAGACATTTTGATTTGATAAACAAAAATTACCAAGTGTAACAGATTATAAGGGAATTTCCCGCATATATGATTCGAATGTCACAACTCACATGCGAATATTTTAAACATACGAAACCTTGTACTTAAAAAAACCCAACCTCGTAAATCAATAAGCAACCTTGCCTATAACTAAACAAATTAAAAAAAAACAAATATACTGATCTCAACATACCAGAGTTTCAAATGTTTTTTTTTATCTTATTGCCCTTACCTCGGTGGAATAAAAGTCCTCCGCCCCATTCGCAGCGGAGACCATATGAACTATTTGATTATATCGGTTGTCGCGCAGTTCAACGCTGTTCCAGTTGTTAGTGTTCAACATATCCTCCCACTTTTCCTTTGAAATAACTGCAATGGATAACGATACTTGTAAGAAACCACGTGATGATTTATGTCGAAGCAGTCACATGATTATGCTGCAGCGGACGGAAACGTACAATTTTAAATACTGACATTATATCAGAATAAACGAACACGTACGAGCATAAGCGTCACCGCTGCAGTAAATAAGGTCAAAAACTTAGCAATTTGATATCGAATTTAAGAGTGCATATCAAAATATACATTTTACTTAAGCCGTAATTATAAATAAGTTTTATTGTTTAAACCCAACTCAAAGTACACACTATTTGTTTTCTTTGTACATTTACAGTACTCAGGCACAATAACATAAGACCTGAAGTACTCATACTTATAAAATGGCTTCTTAATAAGTAATCATTTGTACGTGAATTCTATCAATGCCGAACTTGAAATCTATATTTTCATCTTTTGTCAAATTCAATGTTTTTCCGGAAATTTTATCTTCACTTGAAAAATTACATATTCGCTATCAATACAGGTTGACAGCGTATCTCTACTATCGCTTAGAAAACTTTCAGACGCATTATTTTGAAAGCAAAGTGACCGAAAACATTACGTCGTTGGCGCCAGACGACCGACCTTTCCTACTGCCAACCTAGATATAAATTTGATAGACTTACAGCAAAGGCCAGATAATTCTTAGTAGTATAAAGATAAGGTTGAAGATCGTACAACTAGTCGAGGTACCGCGGATGTATAAACCTCCATTGTAGGACATTGACCTTCTCTCCAAATACGTATTGCCTCTTTAAGAGTATAAGTTGACCCTAGCATTGAGATTGATAAAGGGAAATTTATCAACTTACATGCACTAGCGTCCATGGCGCCACGATCACAGATAATGAGGCAATTTCTCTGGCAGGTCCTTCCCAATTCAAAAAACGTATTCTCAATCTGTATCATAGTTTTTAGTAGATTTTCTTGAAACTTCACCGCTGTAACAATAAAAATAATAATCTTACTAATATTATAATGCGAATGTTTAGATGGATAAACATCCTTAAAACTAAGTATCTCAAAAAACAACTGTATGGATATCTCTGAAGTTTGGCAGAGATTTAAAACATGGTCTGGATTCTTCCAGACGATGTTTCGCGTAGTCGACTAATATTTTTTTTAATTCCGCGAAAACAGAGTCTTGGGCAACAGCACCTTACATGTGTGTAATTAAAAAAAAATGTTTGTGTATCAGTGACAAGTTAATAAAGTAAGGATTATAGATATCACATTGTCATAGACATGACTTTGGCGTCAGACGAACGTCCTTTCGTCTCGCCGACTACGACATAAAAAATGTAGATTACAAGATGTCAAAAGGTCGTTTTTAATATTTATATCGGCCAGGTCACATGATACAGTTGGACTTTATTTTCTAGAACAATATCCAGCAATTTGCTTATTTGAAACCCCGCCAACGGGCAGCCAAAACAAACACGGCTAAGGTTGACTACAAACGGCCGGAAGACGGTGTCATTGACAATGGCGATGTAATGTTTTGAGCTCTAATTACGGGATTGTGTACGCTTATGTTACGAACAAATAAATGGATGTGATGAGAATGTTTGAATAATGCTTCAATGTAAATTCCCGTATTTTAAAAGTATCCTACATATTCAATAATTTTACTACGTACATAAGAAATTATATAAGTGAATACTGAATATTATAACACGTTATTCCGTTGTCTTTTCGAATCCGAAAACGTTAAACGAATTTTACAATAAAATATTAACAAATAGGATTATTCACAAAAACAAATCGCAATAAAATCGATTTTTCTAAGAAGCTTTAACATCGAATATAGTTATAGGATATTATATCTATTATAATTATTTTAGACAAAGTAGTTAATATCATAAAATGTTAGAGTAATTGTGATAAAGGCCCAACTGTTATTATTTATATAACCTTGCTTCGTGTCAGTCATGTCCAATCAGTTGCAAATTACAAACTTTAGTTGTCATTACCAGATATATCCAGATTTAACAAAACCAGACAGTAAACTTAATTCGAAGAAACATAAAAATAATATACAATTGAGATATACTTCGTATTAACATTAAATATAAAAAAAAAATATTTATAATTTACATGAAGACCATTTTATTTATAAAATTATCGTGTCACAATGTTACCATACTCCTCCGAAAAGCCTTGACCGATCTTTATGCATATTCAGTAGATCTGACAATCGACTACTATCTATTGTATAATCCCGCACGGACGAAATCGCGGGCGACAACTAGTATTATACAAAGTGAAAATTAAAACAGTATAATATGCTAACAGAAAAGTAACATATCAAGTTAGAACATATTGCTTAGTTACAAATATATAATAGGCGTGAATGACGTATCATGAAGATTATTTTATCACGTGTAACGAAAGAAAATTGTGCCTTACATTGTATAATAATAGGCGTATTATACAAGTATGTGCAAATAACTGTTGTCTACAAACGGAATAATTTTTAACTACATACTTTGTTACATACCAGAGCATGTTACAGTAACATTTAGACATTTTCACTAAAAGATCATACTGTTTATAATTTTACATTGGTCACGAGAATTTACTTAGTTACATTATGCTCCACGAGTTGTTAATATCTAATATTTATAATAGCCTTTGGCATCTATATAATAATTCGTATGTAATTCTGCCGATATCTACTTATCGCTTATGTAACATCTGAGTACAATCTTAATAGACCATACGTACTTATAAATCAAAATTAATAACCACTATTTGACTTGACCATTATTAACTAGTTAATCGTGAGTTTCTGAGACCAAAATTCCCGTTAAGAAACATATTATTACCACTCTTTTCTCAAAGATAATGTCAGTAATAACTTTACCGTGTTTTATACACAGATTTAAGTTTCAGAAACCGACGTTTAGTCTTTCGTTAAAAAAATATTGAATGAAAATAAACTAACTAGAAGCAAGAAAAACACATAAGTTGGTGACTACTTGACCTCGATTTTCATATTTCGTTATAGAAAAACAATTTCGTCTATTTGTTTTTTAAAATGTAACATGAATACATTGAACAATATCGTTGTCGAAGTATTTATTGAAATAGTACACTGAAAAACGATACGGTTTCAATATACAATTTCGCAATAGTTTTAATGTCAAGTTGTATCAGCAAATTCAGTATAATATTAAACAAAAGTTAAAACCGGGTCATTTATTTAATAATATTATTGCAATCAATAAATCTTTCTAAATCAGTTCTTGTTAGATAATAACAATTTCTAAGGATTTTATCAAAACCGTTCAGAAAAATGGCGCGCGATAAACGCAGACGAATGTAATTTTGAAATTAAATAGTAACAGACTATTAAAAGGGTTTATTTTTATTAATTTATTATTAAAAATGTACACAATTAACAAATACACTGTCAGGTTGAGCGTTGGAGTCTGTCATAGTATGAACTGTGTGACAGACACCGGCGCCTTTCCTTTATTAAAAACGTTATCTTCCTTTAGTAGGACAAAAAAAATCTCTCAACCAGACAACCGGCAAAATATTGACAAACTAGTCAACGATATAAGCTTTACAAAAACTATTCCCTCATTCAGACTTGAATTTGAATCTATATATTTTTTCCATTTCCTTGCTTGACAGATTTTACCATTTCATTGTAATAGAGAATGTTTTATTCAAGTTTTTATTAAATAAAACCATTTACAGTATGTCTATTTCTTCCTAAATATACTATGATGGGCAAATTGAAGCAAAATACTGAATATATCACGTCATTTGTCTATTTTGGGTTAAACTCATATACATATATATTTTATTGCGTAACAATAGACAGATAATGTGATGTATCGGTTGGATTGCCGTGAACTTGATATGAAACATTATTGCGACGCGAGTGACGTAACTCCAAGATATGCGTTGTTTTGTTCACACATACAATATAGATCATGAGCAGATAAGAATTAGAAACAAGTACGAAAATATACCCTGGTCAAGGTTGCGGGAGTGCACTGGATGCGGGCGGCACAGGACCGGGCATTGTGGCAATCGATGGGGGAGGCCTACGTCCACCAGTGGACAAATTTAGGCTGATTATGATGATGACGAAAATATATCGCCCTTGTCATATCACATAAGTCCCTAACGAGCAGCCTACCGAGTTAGGGTGACTCGCGCATAAGTTAACTAGGCAGGTCTAGTGCAGTCCTATGCATATCTTAGAACATCTACACAAATATGTGCAGATTTTATCACGGTGTTTTTCTTCACCGTGGGGCCATCAGATAAATATACAAACATAGGAAATTCGAAAAAAAAAACGTAACAGGAACCGAACCTGAATAGATTTCAGTTCGCTGACGCGCTTAACAACTACGCCACCAACGCTATTTGCGTAATAATATTAATATAATATTATATACCTACTAACATATAATATAATAATGAGTGTTTTAGTTTTGTTTCGCATCTCCTTATAAAAATAGTTTTCTAATGGCGAAAGAATTCTATAAATCTCATAGTCTTTAAAAAAAAAATAACTTAGCATAACTAGAAATGTACATTGCAAAATCGGCAAAGTAGACGGAACTTGTGAAAAGTAATTGTGATTTTCTAGATGCAAAAGTAAACTTAACAAAAACTAAATATCGTGATCAGTAAATGACAATAGAAACGAAGTCGTCCTTGAATTCGACTTCTTATAACAAAAACATCTGGAAAATTGAATTACATTATTGAACATACAAAACATTACATCACTTTAACTATAGTTTTTTTTTATATTTTGCTAATTAAGATGATTTTTTATTAATATTTTAGCTCAATTTTAATTACTGCTTGTTAAAAAAAGTACGTTACGAAAACTAAAGCGTCAAAATCTAATTATTTCGTTTTAGTCAGGTTCCTAATTAACCTAATTTTATCATTTACTACAAACTATACAAACTTAATAAATGTAATATATTTTACAATAGATGTAATTATATAAGAAAACAATGCTTGTCATTGATGTTAACAAGAGCCTATTAATTGTTACATAATATAATCTATTATGGTTGAAGTACTATCTACGCCTTATAAACTAAACCAACATTATTAAAAGTTGACCGAATATTCCAGAATGTGTAGTATTTTTTACTTATAAAACTGTAAAAAAATATTATTTACAGCCAGGTCAATTTACAGACTCGGTTATACAGTTTTTAACAGAAAGTATAATAGTAAGTTTTCTTGACAAAATTATTAAAAACAATAGGAGCTATTTTAAAAAATTATTATAATTCTTTGAAACCAACTTTAAAATAATTAAATTAAAGTACACATAAGCTTAAAAATTACTAAAATACATTTAGAAAGTCACTTGAATACTAAAATACAAACCCTTTATTTTAAAAGTTCATCGACACAGACAGAAATAATTCGCGCTCTCAGAATATTCAAGTTTTGCTCGATTACTTGAAATGACAGTATATTTACGACGACATACTATATAAATGGAGTAAAACCCATTTAGCGTAATTGAGTTTGTAAAGGTTAAAGAGATTACTTTCTAACCAAGGTCGTGACGTAGATAAGTGCGTTATATATACATAGGTATTGCAGTTATATACACCTGTTTGTAGAGTAACATGTTTCTAAAGATAACTTTATCAACAAGAACAATAAAATAGTAAAAACATTAATAACAATTTAGATAATATTTTAATTGAAACATTTTCCTTTTAATTTGATTGTTATGCCTTCACCGTACGTCTTATGAGTACAGACTAACGCAGTAGATACATTAAGGAAGTGATTGGTTTTATTGAATACAATGAAATCCTGAAATTAATCTAATTAAATATTATCAAAAATAAAATAATGCATCCAAAACTGTAGTTTTTGTTTGCCAAAATTATTTACTGCATCGTACACGGCTTTAAAATCAAAGATTGATTGACAA